GGCCGCGGAGGAGCCGCCCACCGCGCCCGGCCCCCGCCCGCCGCTCCCGGGCCCGCGCCATGGGGCTCTGGCTGCCGCCGCCCCCCGCGCCGCCGGGCTAGGGCGATGCGGGCGCCCCCGGCGCGCGGCCCCCGCGGGCACCATGAGCCCCCTGCTCCGCCGCTTGCTGCTCGCCGCGCTCCTGCAGCTGGCCCCCGCCCAGGTACGTGCGTCCGCGACAACCCGCCCGCCCGCCGTGCCCTCTCTCAAGGTTGGCGGAAGTGGGGAGGCGCGGAGCGGCCGGGTTCTCGGGGATCCGCGGGGTCGGGCCTCGGACGGGGGCGTCTCGGGAGCCCGGCCTGGGCATCCCCCGGGAGGCGTCCCTCCCCGCCCGCCCGCCGGCCCAACTCCGGGGCCACTCCCCCGCCCCACCCCGTCCCCAGGGCGCAGCCGGGGGCGGGGCCGCCTCGTTGCCTGCAGGACGCGGTTCGGCGCTCGCTGTGCCCCCTCTTGATCTGTGGCCTCGAGAACAAGCCCGGTCCCTAGGCTTGGAGGTTCGACGCTGCCGGCAGAGCGTGCCTGGGGGGTTGTAGCCAGGACAGGTCCCAGGTCCCAGGTGGCCTGGAGAGGACAGGTAAAGCTAGAGTGGCCCCAGGAACAGAGTACTCTGGAAATAAGCCTCCTGACTGCAAGGGCAGAGCCCTGGGGCCAGCGACAGGGCTAGCCCTTCCTGGAGTGCACCTTGGGTCCAGGTTTCTTCTCTCCTGCAGGGCCCGGTCTCCCAGCCTGATGCCCCTGGTCATCAGAAGAAAGGTAATAGTAACAATAGGAACTTTCTACTAACCAGCACTAAGAATCTTTTCTTCCAGTCCTGATTCCAGACTCTGTGTATTCCTCATCTTGTGTAATCACAGTCCTCTGTAAGATGCAAACTCTTATTCTGCCCATTTCACAGAAGAGGAGATTGAGGCAGGGGGGTTCCTGGGTTCTGGATGAACAGGACAGGGAAGACAGATTGGGAGGGCAGAAGTGGGGGCTAGTGGAGGGTGGCTGTGACACGAGAACTAAGGAGAACAGCTTGTGGGCGCAGGGGTAGGGGAACCAGGGAGCAGCTGCAGGAAACCCAGTGGGGACTTAACCCTTACGCATCTGCCCCCAGTGGTGTCATGGATAGACGTGTATGCTCGTGCCACCTGCCAGCCGCGGGAGGTTGTGGTGCCCCTGACAATGGAGCTCATGGGCACTGTGGCCAAGCAACTGGTGCCCAGCTGCGTGACGGTGCAGCGCTGTGGCGGCTGCTGCCCTGACGACGGCCTGGAGTGTGTGCCCACTGGGCAGCACCAAGTCCGAATGCAGGTATGGGGCAGGTGGAGTGTGCCTGGCTGGATGCTAGCGTTCTGGGGACTGAGAGGGTGGCAACCAGAGCCCTGGCTGGTGGGCAAGGTATTCTCATTTCTCCAGCCCATGGAGCGTCCCTTTCCTCTCTCTCTGACGGTCTCTCTCCCTGTTCTCCTGAGCGCAGATCCTCATGATCCGGTACCCAAGCAGTCAGCTGGGGGAGATGTCCCTGGAAGAACACAGCCAGTGTGAATGCAGGTGCCAGCCAGGCCCCACTCCTGAGTTCGCAGAGACAAGGCTTGGGGGGTGCTAGGTGTGGTGGTACACCACAGCGGGGACCGGGTATCCAAGAGTATAGCCGGGTAGGCCTGGGATCTAGGGCAAGAGAGTAGGATGCTTGGCTTCCTGATCCTCTTTTTCCTTGTCTCTGTCTGTCTCTCTTACTTTTCAGACCAAAAAAACGAGAGAGTGCTGTGAAGCTGGACAGGTGAGTCTTGGGCTCTTGCTGAGGTGGGGTTGGAGCCCAGGCCCAGCACCCAGAATGTAATGTGTGGGTGGGGCGGGGGGTGTAAGAGTGTGTCAGGAAGTTGTGGTCCCCCTCCTTCTCCTCCCACTCGTGTTCCCCTCTCCCCTTTTCCTCTGCTTCCCAAGACTATATGCTCTTCCCCAACCCCAGCTCCCGGGAAGACTCTTACTTCTCACCCGAGACATGTTGCTTCTCCTCCTAGGGCTTCCACTCCCCACCACCGTCCCCAGCCCCGCTCTGTTCCGGGCTGGGACCCTGCCCCCGGAGCACCCTCCCCCGCTGACATCACCCATCCCACTCCAGCCCCAGGCCCCTCTGCCCACGCTGCCCCCAGCGCCGCCAGCGCCCTGACCCCCGGACCTGCCGCTGCCGCTGCCGACGCCGCAGCTTCCTCCGTTGTCAAGGGCGGGGCTTAGAGCTCAACCCAGACACCTGCAGGTGAGGAGTCGGGTGTGGCGTCAAGGTGCCATCCTGGAGCAGGTCCCAGTGAGCCTGCTGGTGGGAGAAGAGCCAGGGAAGGGGAAGCTTTGAGTGTGCTGAACTATTGACCAGGCGCCTGCTGGCACTGGGGTCAGCATAAACAAGGCTCACATTCTGATGCGGAGTCAGACACGAGGGCACGTGATGCCAACACAGGAAGTCAAGCCAGGACCTGTGGTGAGGGCCCCCTGACGTTGTCTTTGAGAGGTTAGAGATGTCCTGGAAGACGTGACATCGCCGGGTGTAGAAAAGAGAAAGACAGCCTTCCAGTTTGCAAGGCTCTGAGCCTTCCCAGAAACCCCTGTGGTAGAATTTGTTCCACCTTATGTGCTCCAAGAGGCCAGGGGATGTGGTGGAACGCTGGTCCACCCTTGTCCAAGTTGCTTCTCACCACCCCTCCTTTCCACAGCGGGGCCATGGGGTGGCGTCCTGTGGACCAGGCCAGCTGGGGCTTCCCAGGAGTGTTAGGGGAGAATGAGGTTCACAGAAGGTAAGAAGTGGGTGAGTCTAGAGGAGCAAGGGCTGAGCTGTGCCAGCATGAACAGACCCCTTCTTCCTTTTTCAGGTGCCGGAAGCTGCGAAGGTGATACATTGCTTTTCAAACTCCGTGGGGCCACTTGCCTCGCAGGCCTGCCCAGAGGGCAACAAGAGGGCATCCTGGTGAGAACAGTCCAGTCCCCAAGACCTCAACCTGGGCGGAAGCTCCTGCAGGACCTGGGCCTCTCAGAGGGCTTTCCAACTGCCCCTTGTCTCTCTGAGGCTGCCGTCCAACAAAGTGGACAGAGTTGGATGAAGAGACCTGGAGGCAGCACGAGGGGTCATGTACCATCTTGGGAGAGAATGGGGTCCCGGCTCAGTTTTTAACCACCTTGTGCAAGTGAGCATCTTACAACTGGCTCCTCCGTCCCCTCACTAAGAAGACCCTGGTCCTCTACAAAAAAATGAGAGTTGGGCTTCAGTACAAGAACTGTGAACCCCAGTCCCGATAAAAGAGATAGAAGGAACTGGCTCTGCCTGTGTCACTGTTTGTCACTGTCCGCGCTGGCTGGTTTGGACATAAATGTCTGCGTCACACTGCCTCCTAGACATGGAGCTTAGAGGAGATGAGGCCCAAGGCCCCACAACAGGTCACAGAGCCAGAATCGTGCATCCTTCACGTTCATGTTGTGCTAGCAGGCCCTGGGGAGTCCCTGCCCCTCTGCTCATTACAAGGGTTCCTTTCTGGAAGGAGAGGGCCAGTGAGCTTGAGGTGGGACCCAGATCTGCTGAATGACCTTGGTTGTCACTGCCTCTCATTCTGAGGCTCAGTTCCCACATGTGCCCACGGAGGGAACCGATGATTACTGTGGTCTGGGCCCTTGGGCTCCAAAAAAGAGAGTCACGTAATAGGAAAGAACACCCATCTTCCCTGCCGGGTGACACTCTGTGTTTGCAGCTTTTTGCTCCCGGTAGCTTAACTCGAAGGTCACGCACCTGGTCTGCCCTCACCTCACTCCCACATCCCCGAAAGGGAGGCAGCACCAGAGGTCTGTGGTCGGTGGGCTCCGCTCACCCCAGCCACACGGTCTTCTCCACTCTCACCTCCCTTGCACCTTGGGCTCCCCTCCTCAGGCGCTGCTTGGGACTCCTCTGACCTTTATCTGACCCAGCCCAAGCTCAGTGGCCAGCTTTCGGCCTGTAACCTTCAGTGCCCCTGGGTCTGAGTGATGAGGGGGTGAACTGAAGGGCAACCTTGGGCACCAGTGCTTTGCCCCATCGAGACAGAACATTCATGGCAGAGGTTAAGCCAAAGCAGCTCCCCTAATGGAGGCCTTCTCTGAAGTGTTAGAGGGTGGGGTAGTGATCTTGTTGGGCCCAAACCAAGAGTGGGGTTAAACCAGAAGAGACAATTCCTGACAGTGATTGCTACTTTCAAATAATTTTCTCAGCTATTCTGTCACCCAAAATGCCAGAGCTCAATTAGAGTGAGACAGATGAGGGTTAGGGACAGTAGCTACCACCTCCCAAGGCCATTTAAGCCTGCCCAGCGTGCACACTGCTTCGTATGTGCCTTCTCGCCTAGTCCTCAATTCTGAGTGTTGTAATCTTCCTTTTTCAGTTGAGGAAGTAGGCTCGAAAACTCTGACTGACCTGGGGATTTGACCTCAGGTCGACTCTCTCCCTAACACTCAACTTAGGCTTATCTGCCTCCCAACTGCAGGTTCATTACTTCAATGGACAGATGTTCACTCCTGGGTGCTGTGGTGCCTGGAAATAAGTCCGGTTGGGGAACGGACCCAGCCAGACCATTACAGTCGTGATTCAGGGGTCATTGTGCAGCAGGTAGAGGCAGGCCTGTACACCGGGAGAGAAAAAAGGGAGAGAGCATTCGCCGTGGACCAGGGCCTGGCAGTGCACGTCACTTGCAGCGATCCTACAGGGGCCCTGCGGGGTGGATGTTATCAAGCCCGAGTTACCAGGCCAAGGAACTTGCTCAAGGTCACACAGCCTGTCAATGAGTGGCAGACCCTGGATTCAAACCCAGGGCTCACTCTGAAGCCAGGCTCTTTCCACAGCAACTGAGGATTGTGGATCCTGAAGAGGCTCAGGGGCAAACAGGAGAGGCTGGGGGCGACATAAAATGGTGTCTTAAGACCCCCGCCGCGAACCCGCGCCCACCTGACCTTAATTTCACCTCGACCGGAAGTGCCTTCGGCCCTTTCAGAAGTCACTTTCACCTAACCTTACGGACTACAGAGCCACCGGACCTGACGCATAAGTCACATGGCGGCGCGGGGGGCGGAGCTAGAGAAGGCCGCCCAGGCGGGCGTGTGGCCGCGGGTTTCGCACGGTCCAATGAGGGCGGGCGGCGTGGCCGGGTCTGGTGGCAACAATGACGCGCCTGCGCAGAGACGGCAGCAGGACTGGGGTTGACTCCGGGGGCGCGGCGAGGAGGTGAGCGGGGGCCACAGCCCGGGCTGTGGGGAGCCGGGGTGCAAGGGGGCAGGCTGGATTAGGCGGGGCAGGAGCGGGCCGGGGCTCTGAGTGTCAACAAGGGATAGGTTACGAGGGAATTGAAGGTTGGGGTCAGAGCTGTCTGGGGATGCCGCAGGGGGAGGGTTCTCACGCCTCACGGGGCGGGGCTCCGGGAGTCGGGGCGGGACGTGGAACGGAGACGGGTGGGACCTCTGAGCTTGTGCCAGTGGAAGGCGGAGCTCCAGGGCTGGGGGCGGGGCTAGGACTGGTGAGGGACGGAGGCTGGCCCTTGGAGGAGGAGCTGGAACAGGCGGAAGGAGGAGCCTCGGGTTTGGAGACCGAGGGGGAAGGAGCCCAGGCACTGGGGGCGCGGCCTCAGCCGGTGAGTGGCGCGGCTACAGTTCAGGAAAAGGGGTCTAGTCCTGTCGGGGGCGGGACTACAGGGCCGGGGGCGGAACCACGCCCTCTAAAGGGTGGGGCTAAGGAGCCCAGCGAAGGGGTAGGCCCAGGTAATGGCCCGGGGCGTCCACGCGGGGGCGGTCTCCGTGGTGGCCGTGCCTGGGGGCGCGGTAGGCCGAGAACTCCCCCGGGAGAGGTGGTGTGGGTGGAGCGGGCTCGGCGGCCACCCGACACGGGGCCAGTCTGGGTGCCCCGCAGGCCCCCGAGGGCTCAGAGTTGGGGCGGCGCCTCGGGCGGAGGCACAGGACCAGCCTGGGGGGTACCCCCGGAGGACAGGGGCTCCCCGGAGCCACCCAGTGGCGATGTGTGGGTGCCTCGGGGCCGACCCCCTGCGGCAGCCGCAGAGGTGTGGGTTTGCTGGGCGGGAGGCAATTGGGTGTGGCGTGAATGGGGTCGCCCGGTTGGGGCAACTGCTGCGCAGCCAGATAGGGTTTGGACTTCGCGGAAAGGGACAGGGGGGAATTGAAGAGCAGAGCTGGGGACTGGGAGGGACGGAAGGGCAGGGGGTGAGCAAAGGGGCTGGACCCTGGCTGCTGTGGCCTCCCCTGACCCCCTCCCCCCGCTGCTGGGGTCCTCGGGCAAGCCCCCTTCTCCCTGGACTGGTAAGTGTGGCCGCGGAGCCTGGGGGAGGGGGCGGTGACACGGGACAAGGGGATCCCCAGGGGCAGGCAAGGTACGGTGGGGTGGAATCCTCCTGGTACTTGCCCGTATTCCATGCCCTCCCGTTCCTCTCCCCCGGTTGGTTGGTCGGGGTCTGTCCCCGCAGAAACATGAGGCTGAGCTGGGTCCTGACAGTATTGTCCATCTGCCTGAGCGCCCTGGTCACGGCCGCCGGGGCCGAGGGCAAACGGAAGCTGCAGATCGGAGTCAAGAAACGGGTAGACCACTGTCCCATCAAATCACGCAAAGGGGACGTCCTGCACATGCACTACACGGTGGGTGAGGAAGTGGAGCTTTTGGGGGTGGGTGGGCCTTCCGGGGACCAGAAAGGACTTGGGAGCCAGGTGTGTCTGCCAAAAGGTGGGTCACCTTGGGCAAGTCTCCTCATCTACTTTGCATGATCCTATCTTGCTCTGAACTGTCTACTCCCAGTTGGCACCAGCAAGCAGTGCAATGTACTGTGAGCTGCCCAAGGTTCTGTCCCTTTCTAGGACTATGGCCGCCAGTGCTGTGGGCTGCCACCTTGATGGGAAGAGCACCTGGGGGTGGGGGTGTCAGAGCAGACCCTCCTCCTCACTGGCCTTCCCATGGTCTCACAGGGTAAGCTGGAAGATGGAACAGAGTTTGACAGCAGCCTGCCCCAGAACCAGCCCTTTGTCTTCTCCCTGGGCACGGGCCAGGTCATCAAGGGCTGGGACCAGGGGCTGCTAGGGTGAGTCGAGGGGCCATGGCTGTGGTCCAGGAGGTGAACTGTGGGAGGCAAGCTCCAGGTATGGGGTGGGGGCAGGGAGCCTGGGTGCTGCCACATGCTGAACATGTATTGTCCTACAGGATGTGTGAGGGGGAAAAGCGGAAGCTGGTGATCCCATCAGAGCTAGGTAAGAGGCCCTTCCTGAATGGGGATAGGGAGTTCAGGGTTATATCTACGTAAGGGTGAAGGCTGGTTCAGCCTCTGCACGGATGTCCACTCAATACATTCAATACATGCCACTTCCAAGTCTAGTTGTGTCCAGCAGTGAGGACAGGGCAAGACCCTTGGGACGCTTGGCTCTGGTGCCCACTCTTTGCCCTCTACAAGACCTTTAGCAGCGCCCTCCCAAATCCATTACACCTTCTGCATTTCTGGCCTCGTGCTGGGATGGGCAGAGGCTTGGTTTCAGCCTGGTTGTCTGCAGAACACCTCACTGCCTGGCCATGGCTCACTTTCTTTGTGCATCTCTGCAGGGTACGGAGAGCGGGGAGCTCCCCCAAAGATTCCAGGTAATAAACCTTCCTGCCCCCCATCTCCTGTACCCATTCCATCTCCCTGTGGCCCTGGTTCTCATTCTGATCCCACTTCTCCCCTGCAGGCGGTGCAACCTTGGTGTTCGAGGTGGAGCTGCTCAAAATCGAGCGACGTTCAGAACTGTAGCCAAACTGGGGAGGGCTGGGGGAGAGGCCCCCATCTGGGACCAGACTGTTTAAAGAAAGAAAAAAAACTTTAAAGCCCACGAAGTGAGCCTGTGTTTGTTTGTGGGCCCTGGAGACTTAGAAACCACAGCTTCAGCCTTCCCTCTCCCTCATCCTCCCCCCATCCCTCCCTCTCCTTTCCTGGCTGCAGAGCCTTGGGGTCTAGTAGGCTCAGTGGCACGGAGGTCATGATGGCCAAGCCCTCGGTGACTTGGTGGCCCTTGTCCAGAGGGAAAAAGGAGTATTCCTGCCTGCCAGCAGCAACAACGGCTCCTCCCCACTCCCCAGCCGCTTCCAGATCCTGGTCTGGGAGCCAGCACTGGGGTATCGCCATGGCTTCATGGCCCTCAGGAAGGCCTGCGGTCACCTGGGGAGAAGCTGAGCTGGCAGCAGTTGTAGAGCAGTGTGTCCCCCCTGAAAGAAACCAGGCGAGCCTGTTAACTGCACCAAAGGCGTATCCTAGCTTTATTAAAGGGCCCGCGCCGCAGTCAATATAAAAACACAAAAAGTCCCGTCAGTTTAATAATAATAAAAAACCCCAAAAATGGAAAACTGAGGGGGCAGGGAAGAGGCCCCTGGGCCAGGGGCACGGGGAGCACTGCGCATGGCACCAGGCCTGGCCACAGGGCCCCCCGGTATTGCTGTTGCTACGAGGTTGCGGGGCGATTGTCCTGTGGGAGCCTCCGTTCACCTGGGTCGAGGACCCTTACTTCTTCTGGGGTGTGCTCAGCTTCTGCATGCCCCGGATCTTGTCCAGCAGGCCAGAGATGAAGGCCTGGAGGGAGGGAGGACATTAGGGAGACCAGAACCCAAGATGACAGGACCCCAGGCTCCTCACCCCGCCCTCTGGGGAAACCACCTCCTTACCTCAGTGGGTTTGTAACAGTCAACCAGCAGCTCCTAGTGGGGCATGGGGGGAAAGTATAACTATGAGTCTCAAGAACACGAGCCTAAAGTTCACCTATACCCTCTTCCAAGGCACTGGGGCCACCCTGAGGCACAGGAGATGCCACAGCTACTGAACAGCTAGGCAAGTACCACTGGCCCTATTTGACGGAGCCAGAAGCTGAGCCCAGGAAGGTCACAGAGCTGGCTGACTCAGACCAAAGAAGGCCTGGCTCCAGAGGCTTGCCTACCCACGGGGCAGTGCCTCCAGGCACCCCTCTATTCCCTGCTCCCCTGACCTGGCCCTGCTGCCCTCCAACCTCTCTCACCTTGACCCTGGCAGCTCGGGTATCATCACTCTCCATGTCCAGGAGTTCATCCACGTCAATCTCCAGCTCCGGGTTCTCCTCTTCGGGGGGGGGGGGGGGGGGAGGAGGGAGAGACAAGGGCCTGAGTTGGGAGAGAGGGTGTGAGAGGGGCTCTCTGGCTGAGGCCCCTGCCCTACTGCAAATGAGCCAGCCCTCTTGCCCAGCAGACAGCGGCAGCTGCTCCGAGGAGAAAACAGATCAGGCCTGTGCCAAGGCAAACTGCCCAATGGGGGGGGAGCTTCCTGTCCCTGCCAGTTGGGCACCCTGGGTGCCAGACAGCTAGGGCTGGGGATCCTGGGCTAGGAACCCTGCAGATGTGTCTCCCCAACTTCCGGGCCCCCCATCTCAACCAGAGCACAGGTGGGGCCAGCTGTCCCAACTCATCACAGCCCCTTCCCCTCCCCCAAACACCTGTCACAGCTTCCCAGGAGTGAGGAGGAAGTGAAGGGTGAGGGGTCAGTGGGAAGGACCCAGGCCTGGTAAAGGGGAAACAAAGAGCCCATGCTTTGCTGAGGGAGGGGGTGCCTGCCACCCCCCCCCCCCCCCCCCAGGAAGCATCTCTCCGGTCTGGAGTCAGCTGCATCCCAGGGCTGCGCTAGGGTAGGCAGCACAGGGCAAGCCCACTCCTCCACCCTGCCCCCCGGGGACTGAGTCACCATTTGATCAAGGAAGGAGTCATAGGGTGGAGAACTAGAACCCAGAGAGTGGGCTAGCCTGCCCCCCCATGACAAGATGGAGCTCCAGGTTAGCCCATTAGAATAGGCAAGACCCGTACCACCACCACCCAGGCTAGCTAGCGCCTTTTAACTAGTCTAGGCTAGCAGGCAATAGGTAGATCTCCTTTCCCCGCCAGCCCAGACAAGCCCTGAGTCTCCTGTCCAAGGCAGCAGATAAGAAAGGAGTGACTTAGGTCAGACAAGAAAGAGCATACATTGGAGGCGGGGAGTACGGAGAGCTGGGGAGCGCGCAGAAGCGGAGCGCCCATTGACTCCGGGTGACAGGCGGGCTCAAGGTGGGGTTCCCAGGCGGCCCGAATCGGAACCGATTTTAGGGTGTCGGCGCAGGGTGGGGGACACACCTGGCAGTCGTAGAGGCGAGTGAGCTGCTCCAGGATCCACTCCTCCAGGTTGAGGCGCTTCCGTAGTTCCTTGCGGTCGTACTTGACCGTGACCTTCCCTTGGCGCCTCACTGGGCCCTCGTCGTCCGCGCCGCCCGGGCCCTCGCCTGCAGCCCCAGGGGGGCTCTGAAAGTAGACGCGGGGCCCTGGGCCGCCACTCCCCGGTCCAGGGGCCGGAGCCGCCAACGCCGCGCCCCCTGCGGGGCCGCTGTCCGCCATGGCGGCCGCCGGGGCCACGTGCGCGCGTCGGGCCCCTCCCTGCGCCGCCGCCTCCGGGACGCCCGCCGGCTGGCTCCGGGCCGCTGGCTCGGGTTAGCTCGTGAGCTCGGCTCCGCACGGCTCCGCTGCGAGGGCGGCGGCGGGGGCGCCCGGGGGCAGCTGCAGCATGCGGAGCCCCCGGGCCTGGCCTGGCCGCGCCCCGCCCCCTCCCCGCCGATCCGCCCGCCCTTTGTCCCCCGCGGCCGCCGCCCGAGCCGCCGCAGCCGAAGCCGCTTTCTCTGTCTCGATCGCTTCCCCCGCCCCCCGACCACACCCCCTTAAAGGGACAGTCCTGAAGCAGGCCCCTCACCCCTACCCCGCCCTCGGGCCGGGGCTAAGAGAGGGTCTAGTCCTTAGAGGTTTGGACCTAGCTGTCCGCTATCCCTTTTAAGCTTCCTGCCCCAAGCCCAGGCGTTCTAAGCGTCCGGTAGCCGGATTTGCGCTCCTGCGGGGAACCTAGTGTTCTGTCCTAACTGATGCAAAAACAGGGGCCGTCTGAGAATGGAGGGGAGTGGACACTGTATACAGGACAGAGGTCCGAGGAAGAGACGTGGGAGCCCCCGACTTCTGGGTCCTCAGGCCCTTGGCCAGCGGGTAAAGAGCAGGCTTCTTCGCGCGGACGGACACGTGGGCCGGACGCCCGGGGGTGGAGGAGTGGAGAAGGCGGGCAGGCGCTGCCCAGGTCACCGGACGCCCTACTCGTCGGGGTTCCGCGCCTCCCATGATGGAGGCCTAGGTTGCGGGTGAGCTGAGCGATCCGGGCGGCCTGAAGGGCCAGACCCCAGGCAGCCACCGCCCACCGGCCAAGATGGCAGCGGGGACGGAATTATGGGAAATGTAGTTCCCAGGGTCCCGCCCCCATGGCCGCCCCTCCCCTGGAGCGGAACCGGGTCCGGGAAGCGCAGAACTTGTTTGGAGCGCCCTCGTAGGGCTGGTCTCCACAGGGCGCGGTTCTCTGCACCCCGCAACCTCTGTGTGTACAAACTGAGGCGTAAAGAGCTGGGAAGTGGGGGAGCCGGTACTCACGGCAATAAAGATAATAATAACAGCTGACCCTAATGAGAGTTCCTACGGTCGGTTCCACATAGTCGGTTCCAGCGTGAGGGCGCCTCACTCGCTCTCCGGTAGATCCTCGCCCTGCGGCCGCCTCTGTCCTTCAGAGCTCACAGGCGCCTAATCTGGCCCACCTCTCTTAAGCAGACCGTGCGTCTCATTCCCGCACCTGCTTTGATTTTCCATATTTTTAAATAGTGTCTCTCATTCACTTGTTCATTGTCTGTCTCCCATTTCTCAACTATGAGCTCCATGAGGCAGAGACCTGTCTGGCCCTTGTTTACTGCTGATGCCCATGGCTGAGTGGGCCTGCTGGGCTTCAAACCCACATGGGTCGCGCAAATTACCTGACTCTTGTTGAACTCTCAGCACCTAGGTCAGACTCATAGTAGGTGTTCGATAACTATTGGTTGAACAAATGACCGAATGAAAGAATTAATGGCTTCTTCTGTGCATCCATTTCCTCTGAAGGCTGTGGCAAAGATTAAATAGGAAAGTGCATGGAAGATTCAAGGACTGAACCACAGGGGTTAAGTCACACAGCCAGACAGAGATGGAGCTCAGCTTGTGTACCCAGGTCCCCTGACACAAAATCACTACTCATACCACCGCACAAGGCTGTGCAGCTCTGTTTGGGATGCTTCCACAGACAGCAGGCTGACCCTCTGCAGTCCCAAGCACAGTCTCAGGGTCTGAGAGGCAGTTAAGTCCCAGCCCCTCACAGACACCCTCTCTCTGGATGCCAGAGAAGTCCTCTGCAGTAGATGGAGTTCAGAGAGAGGTTGACACTGGCCCAGGGTCACACAGCTGGTGCTGCAAACTCAAACCTAGGACTGTAGGCTTACCTTGTAGCTGCGGAGAATAGACAATGAGAAGGCGCTGGCTGAGAATGGCGTGTGTGGTGATGGTGGTGGTGGGATTCAGGCCAGGTGGGAGGCCTGGGTAGGGGGCAGGTTAATGTGGCTTGGTGACGGGCTGATACCTCCTCCCTCTCCAGTCCCCCTTCTGGCCTTAGCCTCCCTTTGGCCAGCCTGGGGGGCCAGGGAAGGGCTGACCCTGCTCTTGCGGATTAGGCAAGACCCACTCTTTCAAAGACAGCCCCATCCCCAGCCTGGCCTCTGGCTCTGAGCTTGGCCTGATGGGAGAAGCAACTTACCCACATCCAAATTCCCCACCACACCCCACCTCACCCCACTGGGGCGGGTCTGTTCTTTCTGAACTGGAGCATTGATTCAGGCCTTGGGGAGCTCACAGTTACAAGAGAGGACATACCATAGCTTTTTGTGGGAGTGAAACCTACTGGCGGTGAAGACCTGGGTACCAGCCCCAGCTCTGCACCCCCCAGATGCTATGACCCTGAGCAATGATCTTCCTCCCCTCAAGGCTGGTGTGAAGGCCTCCGGTCATGTCCAAATTTCAGGGGTCCCCTGAGGATTCTCTAGGCTGAACAGGGAAGAGCCAGGGATGCTTTTCCTGACTCTCCCTCTCTCCACCTCCTGTGCCACCCCCAGGGCACTCCCAGATTCCTGGGGCTGACCCCCCTGTCCATCCAGTCCCTTCCCATGGCCGCCTACCCTGTGAACAGTTAGTGCAGATGGACATGATGGCCTGCAGCTGTCTTGGAGGCTGGGGTGCCCAGCACAGAACCTTGGAGTGGAAGAACTGGGTTCAAACCCTGCCTCTGCCCTAGGCTTCGAGGCCCTGGGCAAGTCATTTACCTGCCCTGAGCCTCTTCAGAGGGGTGGATTCTGCTGACTTCTGGTGGTTTGGGGCTGAGGTCAGTGCTCCAAGACCATATCCCAGCCCTTGCTCTCCTGTCTGAACCTGTCATCGCTGCTGCTCTTCATCCTTCCAGCCTCAGGCTGTGGCCTCCCCAGCCCCACCCCTCTTGGGATCCTGGCCCCCCTCCACCAGAGGGCAGCTAAGGCTGCTTTCAGCACCTCCTCAAAGCAGAGGCCCTAGGGAGGGCCTAGGCTGAGACCACTCCCTTAATCAAGGGTAGAGGCCGGAAAGGCTGCCTTCCTTCCACCGTTTACTGCTTGCCGAGAAACTCTATTACCATTACCAAGGCTGCAAGAAAGTGTTCGAGGAGGAAGAAGCCCTCTAATGGGGGTTGCCCTGGCCTCGGGAGACAGAGGGGTGGAGGGAGAGGGGGAGGGGCTCAGGCCCAGGAAACAGGCTCCCATCCTGTTTTCCAAGGAGCTGCTGCCTAGAGCTTCTACCCCTAAGCTCAGGCCCTGGCTCTAGGCCCTGCTAGCCCCCTGGCCCAGAGCTGATCCATGCCCTTTCCTCCTTCCTTCCCCTTGTCCCCACAGCCTGCTCTCACTCCTTAGAGATTCAGCTGTCTACACCTAGGGGTCATCTCATACCCATTTGCCTATTTCATCCTCTGACAACCTCCACCTTCTGGATAAGGTGACTGAGGCACAGAGAGACGAGGTTCTGCCGGTAGACTTGGACCCAAGTCAGCGGGAGCAGAGGCCAATCTCTACCTGGCATGGCACTGCCCAGTGAGACCTCGTAGTCCCTGAGTCTCTGAGGGCTATGGCTCTGTTGCTCTGGTGAGAGAGGACAAGGATCACAAGTCCTGTCCCCCTTTCTTTGTCTCTTCAAGGGCACGGAGTAAAGGCAGGACATAAACTGGCCTTCAAGACAGAGGGCTGCAATCTTCCTACGAAGCTGTGTGACCTTGGGCAAGTCCTTTCCCCTCCTCTGCGCCTCAAGTAGAGATAATAATCACACCCCATAGGGCCTCAGCCAAAGGCTAGGAGATCTGTTAGGTTAGAGTTGGTACCCAACATGGTGGGGATTTTGAGGATGGCCAGTGCCAGGCAGGGCTCCCCTTGGGGGTCTGAGAGCCTGGGGCAGAGGCCTGTAGGGCTGGCTCCTCCTTGACTGACCCCTCCTCCCCCAGAAGCAGCTCCATCTCTTTCTGGGTTTCTAGGTGACTTGGCTGGCCCCTCTGGATGAGTTCTACTTTAAACCTGCTGCTGCTACTGTCTCTGTATTGGAGGGGCTCCCACAGGGGCCCCCAGGCAGGAGCCCCCCCAGCCAAGCCCTGCGGGAGGGGCTGCAGCCCCCACCCATCTCAGTGCCCATGCGCCTTCCCCGCTCCCGTCCCTGGCATGCAGCAGATTTCAGGACACCTGCTGTGGGCCAGGAGTGGCAGAGCCTCTCCTCGACCCTCCTTGTTCGTGGACACCCAGGAGGCTTCTGACCCCTCTGGGCAAACGACCAGCTGTCCCCTTCTCAGTTTGCAGTCGAGAGCCCCGCAGGGACAGGCTCCAGGTTGAGCTGTGGGGGGGTGTCTGCGGAACAAGAAGGGCGCTGTTCCAGGGCTCGCTCTGGAAAGCCAGGGTGCTTGGGTCCTCAGAGGAGGCGACAGGCGCCGGGCCTCCCCGGGCTAGGGACGGGGGAGGGGCGCCCGCCGGCGGAAGGCCCATTAGCTTGCTAATTGCTCCCAGGGAGGGGAGGGCGGGTACCGAGCTGCTGCAGAAGGGGGTGAGGCGAAGTGAGGGCACAGAGGGGGGTGGGAGTGTCTTTTCCAGCGCTCAGCTAAGTGCTGCAGGAGTGGGGTGGGTGGCAGGTCTCTGCGCCCCCAGGCACAAGTCCTGCTCTCCGGTAGTACCCCCCGCCCCTGCCCCTCAGAAACCTTAGCGGGCCGACCCCGGCCGGTCTTCGGCAGCGCCCTCTGCACGCAGTCCCTCCAGCTGCACCCCAACAGCCTCCCCGCCCCAAAGCGCCTTCCTCCAACCCCGAGCGGGTTCAGCTGAGCCACCCCCAGCGAAGTGCCCCAGTCCGGGCGTGCCTCTGCCCCATCCCTCCTCTGGTTGCAGTCGCCACCCCGGCCGCCAGGGGGAGCCGACGCGGGGCGGGCGGGCCCGACGCCGGGGGAGGGGGCGGTGCCGCTGCGGCCCCGCCCCCGCCCCGCCCCGGCCGGGCCCCGCCGATTCTCCGGTCTGTCCCGGACAGACTGGCGGGCGGGCGGGCGGTGACGCCGCCGGGCCGGAGCGGGCCGCGCGGGAGCGCGCGGAGGGAGCAGCGGCGCCGTCGGGTCCCCGTCGGGGCTCCGTGGGTCCCCGACCCGCCCCCGGCCCAGCTATGGCGGGCGCCAGGCCCGGCGTCCACGCGCTGCAGCTGGAGCCGCCCACCGTCGTGGAGACCCTGCGGCGCGGGAGTAAGTTCATCAAATGGGACGAGGTAAGTGCAGGGGCCCCCTGCTCCGCCCAGATCCGGGGACTCCCTCACCCCAGCTCCGCCAGCCGCCGGGGACCCCCAGCCCAGACTAGCCTGGCCCCCGCCCCCCCCCCCACAATCCCAGCCTGGCTGCGCTCCGGAAACTTGAGTCCCCAGTCGTCCTCGTAATGAAGACTCTGTCCCCCACCCCCCACTCCCTCATCTACGGAAAATATGGCATTCATTCCTTGGCCCAGAGATTTCGAACCCCAATAAATTCCAGCCCCCCTATTTTCTCTGGCCCTTCTCACCTCTCCCGGCCGGTCTAATTCTGGTTCCCCCAACCCTGGCCTGGTCCCCAGACCCCTGCCCGGCACTGGACAGTCTGGCTGAAGAACCATAGCCCCCAGTCTGGTTCAGTGTACCCCCATTCTGAGTGGGTGCCTCTGGGACCCTACCCTTCCCAGTGCTCTAGTCTGAACATTCTTCTCCATTCATCACTTTTTCACCCTATTCTGGCTGGCACCCCTTTGCCCTGCTTCTGGATCCCAGCCCAGCTCGCTGCTCAGGTGGGAGCACCAAGTCACCCCCCCTAGTGGAGACTGTGCCCCCCCCAAGTTCCTCCACCCCGGGGGAACTTTGCTCTCCACTCCTTAGCATCGGGACTTTGAACCCCAATAGATCCTGACTCCCCCTCCCCACCACCCTTTACCTGACCTGCCCCTGGAGCTTCCCAGAGGCCCCGCTCCCACCTGCGGCTCTGCGAGCTGTCCTGCACCTCACCCTCGTTTACACACCGCCCCCTCCTCTGCCCCCTGGGCCCCTCCTTCCCCAGGGCTTTCCCCCCGCCTGCCTGAGCTGCCTTGCTGCTCCTTCCCAGACAGGCCGGAGGCCTGGAAGACTCGGCTCCTTTCCGGCTGGGTGGGGCGGGTAGGCGTGGGAGCTGGGGGGGAGGGGCTTGGGGCGTGGCCTGAGGTAACAGGTGTGCCGTAGAGGGGTGCCCCGGCGCCCCTGGGGCTAGGGGAGACCCCTCCCCCCAGGCCGGCTTGAAGGGAAAAGTTTCTCCTTTTCCTTCCAGTGTGATAAACCCAAATAAGGAAGTGGGAACAGGGAGAGGGCCCTGGGGGTGGGGTAGGGGTTGCTGACAGGGACTTGGGGCCTGAGAACCTGGGGCCTGGGCTGCCTTTGAAGACCAGACCCCTGAGGAGGGGGAGAGGGAGACCCTGGAGGCAGTACCCACAGAACTCCCCCCTCATCACACTCCTGGGGGGCCCTGAGCCCAGGGCAGGGTTGGTAATCCCAGAGAGGGGCTAAGGATGGGTGTCAGCACAGTGAGGTGGGGAGGCCCGAGCATCCCAACAGTTCCCAAGCCTCCTAGCCCCTCTGCCCCCAGATCAACCTCCTGTCCTTTGTAAGTAAAGGCTGAGATGGGCGGGGCTAGTGCGGTCCCCATTCTCCAGAAGATGAAAACTGAGTCTGGAGAAGGGAGGCTAATCCCAGGCCCCACAGTGGGGTTGTGGCTGAGGTCAGGAGCTGGGAGTCTGGCAGGGGTCCTAGTTCCCTGCTTCCCAAACCTCGGGACTCTGGAGCCATACTGCCTGCATGCAAATCTTGGCTCCTCTTCTTGACGTTAGGCAAGCTAGGTAGTCTCTCTGTGCCTCAGTCTTCTCACCTGTAAGCTGGGAAGAACAAGAGTGCAAACCTCATAGGTTGTTAGGAGGACTAAGTGAGCTCCTAGATATTGAGTGCTTAGACCCGGACCTGGCAAGCAGTAGGGGCAGCGTGAGGGTGAGCTGTTGTTACGACCATAGGATCGTCCACCAGTGAGCAGCAGTTTGGGGTGGCACCAAGGTGAGGCAGCGTCTTCTCTTGGCCTGGGCCAGGAGAGTTCTACCTGGAGCCACTTGGTCACTTGGGCCCTGGCCGAGTCTAAGCCTCTGATGACACCACCCCCTCCCCCACTGCTGCTGGTCCTGAGTCACACAGGGTGGCCCTCCTCAGAAAATGGGGCCAGTGCACCCTTTTCTACCCTCCTGCCAGCCAGGGCTGTTTGAGTGAGAACAGAATTCACTGTCTAGTCCTGAGGGCAGGGTGAGTCCCTTTCCGAGGGGACTTAGTCTGTGCTCTGTAAGGTGGGGTGAGCCTCGAAGCTGTGAGGCTCCAGTGGGGCGCAGGGTTGGGGGGGTAATGGACTTTGAAGCAGATGTAAGGGGTGGCTGGTCGTCATGGGGACCCGAGGGACACAGAAGGACCATGGGGGTCAGGCTTCCAAACCCTCTTCTTTCATTCCATAAATATTCCCAAGGGGGCTGTGAGGGTTTCAGCCATCAGGGAGCTCTCAGACCTTATGAGGAAACTGAGCCCAGGCTTGGGGTCTGGGGAGGCCTCCCCAAGGAGGCAGGCCAGGTTTCAGGGATAGAGAAGGAAGGGAGAATATCCTCGCAAAGGAACAATGATGCAAAGACTGGAGGTGGGGAATGGGTAGTTAGTGGTCCATGTGACAGAGTCTTAGGGCAAGAGAGCAGTGGGGCTGGGAGGGGATTAGGACCTCAGCTTTGTCCTGAGGACTGCAGGGAGCCACAAAGGACCTGTGGGCTGGCTTGAGGCTTCGTCTTCGCTACTGAGAGAAAGACTGGGTGGGGTGGGGGTGGGGGGATGGCCCCAGGGTGTCCAGGGACCAAACCTGGGCGGCAGCCCTTACCCCCTGACCCCTGCCGTCCGTCTCGTCCCCAGGAGGCCTCCAGTCGGAACCTGGTAACTCTGCGCGTGGACCCCAGTGGCTTCTTCCTGTACTGGACGGGGCCCAACATGGTGAGGGCGGGTGCTGATGCCGCTTGCTGAGGTCTAGGGCTCCCACCCCAGACCCCCGAAACCACCCCCAGCCCCCGCCCATGGGGGTGGGGCCCTGCTGCTGCCTGACCTCTCCCACGGTTCCCTGGACAGGAAGTGCTAAGGGCGGGGGCTGAGGCTGGGGCTCCAGCAGGGGGTGGACACTCCCTGGCCTGCGTGGGGAGCTTGGGGGCTCCCAGCTGTCACCCTGTAGCCTCTCAGACGTCCCCTGGCATCTGGTTTCCCCAGGAGGTGGACACACTGGACATCAGTTCCATCAGGGACACGAGGACAGGCCGTTATGCCCGCCTACCCAAGGTGAGTGATGGGGGCCCAGGACTCAGGATGGGAGTGAGGCCGTGGGGGATGGGGACAACCCTCTTCACCCTTGGCTCTCACCTACTCAGGACCCCAAGATTCGGGAGGTGTTGGGCTTTGGGGGCCCTGATGCCCGGTTGGAGGAGAAGTTGATAACAGTGGTGGCTGGGCCAGACCCGGTGAATACATCGTTTTTGAACTTCATGGCCGTGCAGGATGACACAGCCAAGGTGGGCTGGGATTGATGGCTCGGCCTGGGGGAGCTGCAGCCTCACTTGCTGAGTCAGCCATCACTTAGTAGGCACCTGTTCTGTACTAGGCTGTCCTCTGCCCCGTTTCTAATCATTCTCTTACAAAGTGGTATTTAAGCACTTAGTGCGTACCAGACCTAGTTCTGGGCATGGGCTGTGGCTGGGCCAGCCCCTCTGTGCCCCCCTCACGCCCTCCCCCCGGATCCTGACCCCTCAGGTCTGGTCCGAGGAGCTGTTCAAGCTGGCTATGAACATCCTGGCTCAGAACGCCTCCCGGAACACCTTCTTGCGCAAAGCGTGAGCCCTGGGCCTGCCCCGGGGCGGCCGGGTTGGGGGGGTGCATCGGGGGCAGGGGGGAGTTCAGGTAGCTGTTCCCAGGGCGTGACCCTTCTACCTGTGTCCCCAGGTACACGAAGCTGAAACTGCAGGTGAACCAGGATGGACGGATCCCGGTCAAGAAGTGAGCGCCCCTTTCCCTTAGCACCTCCTCTGCTTCTCTGACCTTGGTGACCTTTGCCCCCACTGACCCTAACCCCTCCCATCTGCTCAGCATCCTGAAGATGTTCTCAGCAGACAAGAAGCGGGTAGAAACTGCGCTGGAATCCTGTGGCCTCAATTTCAACCGGGTGAGGGGGCTGGGGACAGGGGCCGGGGTTGGGGGGTGTCACAGTGGGCGCCAGCTCTTTGAGGGCTGGCTGTCCCTGGGTTCTCACCCTTCACTCCTGGCCCCTAGAGCGAGTCCATCCGGCCTGACGAGTTTTCCTTGGAAATCTTCGAGCGGTTCTTGAACAAGCTTTGTCTGCGGCCGGACATTGACAAGATCCTGCTGGAGATGTGAGCAGGGCTGGGCCTGCCTCCCAGCCCCCCATACGCCATGTCTGGCCTCTGCTGGCGTTCCCTCCAGTTCAAGGGAGGGGAATTGGAGCTGTCGGGGTCTCTGCGTGCTGGAGCTGTGCCTGTGCTCAGAGCTGCCTTGCCTGGGGCTCTGTCATGGACAGTTCTGTGCTGACCCTTGGCCACTGGGGCTGAGGACCCAGTGGCTCAGACGTGTGGTCGGTGAGGGCTGGAGCTGAGATCGGGTCCAGGATCTGGAAGCATGGTGTGGCGGGCCAAGCACTTGGTGGCTTCCAAAGCCCTTGCTGATACCAATGGCAGCACCAAATGGTTAGGAGGGCGGATGGGGAAACTGAGGCCCAGAGGGGCCAGCGACTTGCCCAAGTCCCAGTCAGAGGGTTCTGGAGCCAGACCCAGCCTTCTGACTCCTCGCAGGGTGAGGGTTTGGAGCAGGGGCTGGTGAGGCTCCAGCCTGACTCCACTTCCCGCCCCCTCCAGAGGCGCCAAGGGCAAACCATACCTGACACTGGAGCAGCTCATGGACTTCATCAACCAGAAGCAACGGGACCCGAGGCTCAATGAAGTGCTGTACCCGCCTCTGCGGCCCTCCCAGGCCCGGCTGCTTATCGAGAAGTATGAGCCCAACCAGCAATTCCTGGAGAGAGGTGAGCCGGCGTGGGAGCTGGGGGCAAGGTGGGAGGGCCCCAGCTGCCCCTGCTGACCCCACCCCGCCCCCAGACCAGATGTCCATGGAGGGCTTCAGCCGCTACCTGGGAGGTGAGGAGAACGGCATCCTGCCCCTAGAGGCTCTGGATCTGAGCGCAGACATGACCCAGCCGCTCAGTGCCTACTTCATCAACTCCTCACACAACACCTATCTCACTGGTGAGCAAGCCCATCTAGCATGACCTCTGTCCTCTGCCCTCTGGCCCTTAGACTGCTTCCCTCCTTTTGGGCTGGCCCCTGCTAGGGATACACGCCTGGAACAGACTGCCTGCCCTGGGGAGTGGGCTTCTGTGGAAGGGTTTCTCGGGGTCGTCCAGGAGGCTTCCCCGGGGGAAGGGCTGAGGCCTGCATCTGCCCCGCGAAGGAACAGCCTGTGCGTAGGCCCGGGGGCAGGAGGCCCTTTGGTGCTCTTAAGCAGAAAGGCGGCTGAGAGGTGGGGTGGGGCGGGGTGGGGCAGGGTGGGGCGGGGACTGGGGCAGGTAGAGATGAGAGGGACCCAGGGGGCACAGAAGGAATGGGAAGAATTTGGACTGATCCTAAGTGCGTGGGAAGGCTTCTTGCAAGGTGTTTAGCAGGGGGAGGTGATGTGACCTGGTATGTTTTTAGAAGGATGATGCCAGGTGCTTCGCAGAGATTGGATGGGAGGTGGGGAGGGGCCTGCTGTCCCCAGGAGGAGGTGATGGAGGCTGTTCCAGGGCAGCAGCGGTGGAGGGAGGAAAGGGAAGCAAGGGGCCATGGGGGTGTTGGGGCTGACTCCCCGGTTCAGGCTGGTGGGATGGGGGGTGGCGGGTGTTTATCTGAGAGAGGGTGAGACCTGGAGGAGGAACCAGCCTGTCAGCCAGTGCTGGTGGATGCCGACTCTACCTGGCTTTGGGACTTTGCGGGGAGATGGTGCTGGTTCCACAGTGAATTAAGGAGTCGTCAGAAGCTGGCCAGACAGAGCGTGCCAGGGCCAGGCCACCCCCGGGGCTCTGCGTCCCCAGCATGGCCCGGTTCAGCGCAGGCCTGGGGAAGAGGGCGAGGCTGGCGGGGTGGCCGTGGTGACGGAGCCTCGCCCCCAGCGGGGCAGCTGGCGGGAACCTCGTCGGTGGAGATGTACCGGCAGGCACTGCTGTGGGGCTGCCGCTGCGTGGAGCTGGACGTGTGGAAAGGGCGGCCGCCTGAGGAGGAGCCCTTCATCACCCACGGCTTCACCATGACCACGGAGGTGCCGCTGCGAGATGTGCTGGAGGCCATTGCGGAGACCGCCTTCAAGACCTCGCCCTACCCTGTCATCCTCTCCTTTGAGAACCATGTGGACTCGTGAGTGGGCCCCTGACCCTGGGACCCCGATCCTGGCCTGGGGACCCCTGATGACCCAGAGACAACCACCTCACCATGGCACTGTTGGACTGCTCCTGTGACCTCTGACCCTGGGATCTTTCACTGACCCTGCCGGCCTCTGAACTACCCTGGGGACCTCAGCTTCACCCCAAGAACCTCTGACCTCTGACCTTGGCCCCACAGGGCAAAGCAGCAGGCCAAGATGGCTGAGTACTGCCGCTCCATCTTTGGGGACGCGCTGCTCATCGACCCCCTGGACAAGTACCCGGTATGGGGCTCAGAGCCAGGGCGGGGCATGGGGGTGAGGGTGCCCAGCAAACCCTGACCTGTCCGTGCCCACCAGCTGGCCCCGGGCGTCCCCCTGCCCAGCCCCGAGGACCTGATGGGCCGCATCCTGGTGAAGAACAAGAAGCGGCACCGGCCCAGCACTGGCGTTCCCGACAGCTCCGTGCGCAAGCGGCCGCTAGAGCAGAGCAACTCGGCCCTGAGTGAGAGCTCCGCTGCCACCGAGCCCTCCTCGCCCCAGCTCGGTACGGCCCTGGCCTGACCTTCGACCCCAGTCCTGACCCTAACCTCCCACTTCACTGAGCTCAGCCCTCCCCGGGGATGCTCTTTCTGCTCCCAACCTGACCTCCCTCCTCACCAAGCCGCTCACCACCTCTCAGCTGAGTATGGGACCTCTGACCCCTGACCCCAGGTGCTCACCTCACTGAACTTCACCCCAGTTGGATTTGGCTCCATCCACCTCCTGACCCCTCAATCTCAGCCTCCACCTCGCCCCTCACAGAGCCCTCCCCCTCAACCAGGTTATGACTCTGAATTCTGACCTCTGACCTCAATCACCTCTGACCTAAACCACCTCTCTCCTGAGACCCCTACTGAGTCTACCCACCCAGCTGGTTCTAGTTTCAGCTCACCCTGGACCTCTCACTTTACTGAGGTCCCGCTTACATCCGACCCGAGTGCTCACCTCACTAAGCGCCCTCACTGGGTGTGGCCCTCACTGAGCCCTGACTTGGAGCCCCACCTTGTCATCCTTTACCCCCACTGTCAAGGCTGTTGTACCCCAATTCTCACCCTTCTGAGCCGCGCTACCTGTCTCCCTGCTGGATATAACTCTGCATCCTGATCTTTGACCTTTGGTTTGTCTATACCACCGTTCGGTTTGATCCCATCCAGCTGCTGAGCTCCCCCCGTCCCCCAGCCACACTGCCCTGAGAGTGCCCCTTGACTCCGTGAGCCGCCTCTACACGCTGGGCACAACTCCTCCTGGCTCCTGTGTGTCAGTGTGTGCCCTGACCCCCGACCCCCTGTGGCCTTGTCCTCTGCAGGGTCCCCCAGCTCTGACAGCTGCCCAGGCCTGAGCAATGGGGAGGAGGCGGGCCTTGAGAAGCCCAGCCTGGAGCCTCAGAAGTCTCTGGGTGAGGAGAGTTTGCAGCGGGGCCCTGATGCCCTTGGATCTGCCTACCGTGAGGATGAGGAAGAGGATGAGGAAGAGGAGGAACAGACAGACCCCAAAAAGCCGACCACCGATGAGGTCAGGCCTACAGGCAGGAAGAGGGGGTGGCGGCACATCTTCACTTCCCAAGTGTTTGCTGAGCCCTGACTGTGCCGGGCACAGCACCAGGTGCTGGGTCCGCTCGCGATCAGATGTTGCCCCTGCTCTCCCAGAGTTCAGAGGGGGATGTGTGTGGAGTGAGGGAGGGGTCTCAGATACACAGGCACGGAAGCGAGTGTGAAATTGTGTTCAGGACGTGGGCCGGGAGGGGGAGTCGGACCTCAGCAGGGGTGTTGGGTGAGCAGACCTGAGGAAGAGGGAGCACCGTGCAAAGGCCCTGTGGCAGGGCCAGAGAGTGCAGGGGGAGGGGGCAGTGCAAGACGAGGGAGCGCTGAGTTTTGAGGAGAGAAGGTGACAGAAAAGGTCAATCATGAGATTGGGTTTGAGAGGGGCCCAGAGTGGGCAAGGGTGTGGGCAGCCATGGTCGAGCTCAGGTAGCAGGGGTTGAGTCTGAGGCTCTTCTGAGCCACCCAGTAGGAGATGGCAGGTGGTGGTTGGAAGTGAGACTGGGGATGGAAATTTGGGGCTCATCTGCGTGTGAATAATTGAACCCCTGGGGTTGGGTGAGGAGTTCCAGCTTCCAAGGATCAGGGAGATAGAAGGCAAACCAGGAAGGTGGGGTCCAGGGCACATCAGAGAGGCCCAGAGAGAAGGCTGCGGGACAGATGGGACCAGGACTGACAGGCGTGGCCAGGCTGGGGTCTTTGCTGGGAGAACTGGGCAGTGTGATTGCAGGGCTGGGAGGAGGGTCAGTGCCTCCTTTGTGGTGGGGGGCAGGTGAGGGAACTTCCAACTGACGGCTGGGGGCCATGGGGCCGCTGACCCTGCACTTGGGGGCCACAGGGCACTGCCAGCAGTGAGGTCAATGCCACTGAGGAAATGTCGACGCTTGTCAACTACATCGAGCCCGTCAAGTTCAAGTCCTTTGAGGCTGCTCGAAGTGAGTGGGGTGAGAGGTGGAGGAGTGGGAGGGGGTCTGGCCCTGCCAGGCCTGACTCCCTCCCACTCCCCACCCCCCAGAGAGGAACAAGTGCTTTGAGATGTCATCCTTTGTGGAGACCAAGGCCATGGAGCAACTGACCAAGAGCCCCATGGAGTTTGTGGAGTATCCTTCCGCGTTGCTAGGGCTGGCGGGGTGGGGCTCCTCACTCGGAGGCTGGCGCAGATGTTCTGACCCCACTCGTAGCACCTGCGCAGGATCCTGATGCTCTAGCGCCCCGGTCTGGGTTTTGAGCAGGCCTGGGAGACTGTGCAGGGCCTAGGCGGAGAAGCGGGGGACTGAAGGGGCAGCTTGAGCAAAGGCGGGGAGGTGGGTTCACAGGAGCTGAGGATGGGCCTGGAGCACTGGGCTCGAGGCAGAAGGCGGGGCCGCCACCTGACGGGGCCAGTACCCGGCGTGGCCCCTGACTGCCAACCTCAGATACAACAAGCAGCAGCTCAGCCGCATCTACCCCAAGGGCACACGCGTGGACTCGTCCAACTACATGCCCCAGCTCTTCTGGAATGTGGGCTGCCAGCTCGTCGCGCTCAACTTCCAGACCCTGGGTGAGTGCTGGCCTGCCTTGACCTTTGACCTCTGCCCCCCCCGCCTCACTGACCTCTGCCCCATGACCCTGTTCCTCTTGACTGAAGGGGCCTCTGACTGTCTAATCCCAGATCCCCAAACCCAGCCGAGACCTTGGCTGACCCTAACTCCTGACCTTGGCTGACCCTAGACCTTGTCCATTCTTTCCTGAGTCTGGATCCTTGATGCCATTTGATCCGACCTGAACGACTCCTGGTCCCCCCTCTGCACGGCACTGTTCTTCCTGACTCCTGACCCCATCTGACCTGCTGACCCTTGCCCTCCCCCTGTTGCCCCCAGACGTGGCCATGCAGCTCAACGCGGGCGTGTTCGAGTACAACGGGCGCAGTGGCTACCTACTCAAGCCCGAGTTCATGCGGCGGCCGGACAAGTCCTTTGACCCCTTCACCGAGGTCATCGTGGATGGCATCGTGGCCAATGCCGTGCGGGTCAAGGTGGGACCAGGGAGGGCTCAGGCCAGGGTGTCCTGGGGACGGGACTCTCAGCAGCCACCTCACCCTCCTGGCCCCCCAGGTGATCTCGGGGCAGTTCCTGTCCGACAGGAAGGTGGGCATCTACGTGGAGGTGGATATGTTCGGCCTCCCTGTCGACACGCGGCGCAAGTACCGCACTCGGACCTCTCAGGGGAACTCGTTCAACCCCGTGTGGGATGAGGAGCCCTTCGACTTCCCCAAAGTGAGCCCCGCGCCTGCGCCCTCCCCGGCACAGGGAGCTGCAGCCCAGACCTGCCGGGCTCTCTTAGTGGGGGGACGGGAACCAGAAGCATTGGTGGCGGTTGGGGATGTGAAGGTGGTTGTGCCCCAGCACCTCAAGGCTGGGCCTGTCACTTCCAGGCCCCACCCCGGGTCCTGCATGTCCCAGCATCAGGCTCACACTCCCTTCCCTGTGTGGGGTGAGAGGAGAGGACAGGAAGCTGAGACAGCAGGAGGTCCCACAGCTCCCGTTGGCGCCCACCCCATCTCCCAGGCAGGAGGGACTTGCTCCAAGCTCACCCCAGCTTCTCCCTGCCCCCCAAATGGATGGGCCCTCTGCAGCCTGCTGGGGTGGGGTGTGGCCTCAGGCCCAGACGCATGCCAGTTTCTAAGCTGGCAATGACCAGGCCTGTCCCACCATAGCGATGCCTGGAGGGGTCCATCTGCCTGTTCTCTTGACTCAGGGCTCTGGTGGAAGCTGGTCATCCCTTTGGCGAGGTCACAGAGGTGTGGGTCCACCACTGGCTCAGTGACGATGGTGACTGATGGTCAGTGGTTGGGTCAGATTGTCCAAGGGCCCACTCTGGGTGTCGGCCTTGGTGGCTGTGGTCAGCTGCAGCTCAGACCAGTCTGGGCCCTCAGGTGGTGCTGCCCACGCTGGCTTTGCTGCGCATCGCGGCCTTTGAGGAGGGTGGCAAGTTCGTGGGGCACCGGATCCTGCCTGTCTCTGCCATCCGCTCAGGTGAGGCCACCTGGGCTCTGGGCAGCGTGGGGGGCAGGGTGTGTGGGGACCTATCGAGGCGCAGCCACCTTGCCCTCCCGCCCTCCCAGGGTACCACTACATCTGCCTGCGGAACGAGGCCAACCAGCCGCTGTGCCTGCCGGCCCTGCTTGTCTACACTGAGGCCTCTGACTACATTCCCGATGACCACCAAGGTGAGCTGGAGGGAGCTGGGGCGGGGCAGCCAGGCAGGGTGGGGACAAGGACACCACCAGGGCCTGGGAGTGGCTGAGACTGGTGGCCCCAACTGAGGGTGGAAAACAGAGCTGAGGGTGGGTTCTGTGCTCCCTCCGTCCCTCCGTGAGACCAGAGCCGGGGAAGGCTGGTCTGGAGGCTGGCTCCGGGGGTGCTATCTCTGAGACCCTTGCCCTCTGCTCCCGCCCAGACTACGCAGAGGCCCTGATCAATCCCATCAAGCACGTCAGCCTGATGGACCAGAGGGCCAAGCAGCTGGCTGCCCTCATTGGGGAGAGTGAGGTGAGCCGGGGCAGGCCGGGGGCAGGCGGCAGGCAGCAGGGCTCAGGCTCACCCGGACCCTGGGGGCCCCTGGGGGTCGGCGTGTGGGTGGGGTAGGGAGGTGAGGGCTGACCTCTGGGCCCACCCTGCAGCCTTCTCTGCTCTCCTCCACCTGCACCGTCCCATGCCACTCCCAGCTGGTGGTCTGGCTCTTCTCCCCAAGTGGGGCTGTTCCCTGCCTGCTGCAGACGCTAACTTCATGCAGTTACCCACACCCACACCGTCCCTCCAACCCTGGGCTCCGCCTCCAACGCTGGCTTTTCCGCCCTGGTGCAGGGCAGCGTGGGGCTTCAGGGCTCCCTTGTTCAATAGGCTCAGCAGTCTCCCGTTACTCTCCACATTTTAAGGAGGTGGAAACCACCCCTTTTGCATGAGGAAGGCCTTCAGGACAGTCCTGGGCTAGAAGTCTTCCTGCTGCCAGTGGGTTCGGGGCCAGGGTGCAGGGTTCAGCCACAGCCGCTTCACCAGGGCATCTGGAAATCCTGGGAGCCGGGCAGTGGCTTCTGCGGGGAGGGGTCAGGAGCAGAGGCTCGCCGCAGATCTAGACCCGGTCTCACGGGGCCCTGCGGCAGGCAGGGAAGAGAGACGGCTGCCTAGAGCTGTTAGTGGGAGAGGCTGGTGCCCACTCTGTGGTCACTTCCTTCATTGATTTAATCAGGAGCTAAGCAACGAGGAAGATGAGCAGCTGTGGGCAAGGGTGGAGGGGGACTTGGAGAGGGGAGGAAACGGGGCTGGGCTAAGGCTTTCCGGAACAATCTGGAAGCTCCTAAGCATATGCAGGGAGGCCTGGCATCCTAGAGACACGACCTCACGTTATCGTCTTCATGCCTCACGTGGAAAGAGGGGTTGGAAATGCTCATTTTCTACCTCTTGTTCTCATGGAGTTGTCCCAGCAGCCCCACATTACAGAGGAGGAGTCCAGGGCCAGGCAGGCTGAGGGAGGTTGTGAAGGACAGAAAGGTCTGGAGACGGGGAATTCCCTGGCGGTCCAGTGGTTAGGACTCCGCACTTTCACTGCTATGGGCCCGGGTTTGGTCCCTGGTCGGGGAACTAAGATCCCACATGCCACGTGGCGTGGCCAAAAAAAAAAAAAGGGTCTGGAGAGAACAACGTTTCTGGAAAGAGCATAAAGCATTCTACTTTCTCCCCCACAGGCTCAGGCTGGCCTAGAGACAAGCCAGGAGACCCAGTCTCAGCAGCCAGGGTCCCAACTGACCCCAAACCCCACACCCAGCCCACTGGACGCCTCCCCCCGCCGGGCCCCAGGCCCCATCACCTCCTCCACCAGCACCTCCCTCAGCAGCCCAGGTGAGGGGCAGCCTGGAGTGGGCGCAGGGACATAGCTCTGCTGCTGGCTCCTCCAGCTTCTGACAGACTTGCTTCTGCTCTCCAGGTCAGCGTGATGACCTCATTGCCAGCGTCCTCTCAGGTAGGGGGCAGGCCTGTTCTGGGGGCGGGGCTACTCCTGGAGGGGGCAGGTGCTCCTGCAGGGTTGGTCTGCCCCAGCCCGGCCCGGCCCGGCCCATCTTTGCTCTGCTGCCCACAGAGGTGGCCCCGGCCCCGCTGGATGAGCTCCGAGGCCACAAGGCCCTGTTGAAGCTCCAGAGCCGGCAAGAGCGAGACTTTCGAGAGCTGCACAAGAAGCATCAGCGGAAGGCGGTTGCCCTCACACGCCGGTTGCTCGACAACCTGGCCCAGGCCCAGGCCGAGAGCAGGTGCCGGCACCGGCCGGGTGTCCTGTGAGTGTCCAGCCTGCCTGTGTGCAAGTGTGCTGCGTGCATGGATGTGAATATGAGAATGTGTGTGCACATGGGTTTTTGCACTAGGTGGGCGTGGAGGGACAGCCAAGCGCTGCCCCTTGACCCCAGGGAGGAGGGTTTGGTGCGAGGAAGACAGAGGAATCTGGGTCCCACCCTCTTTCCGCCAGGGAGCGATACCTTTTTTGAAGTCCCCGTAAGAGTGTGTTTCCAGAGACTGTTGCCCAAACAGTCTCCCAACATTTGGGTGGAGCTAACAGGCCTCCTCATTGGCGTAACAGATCCCACCCCCGTGGGCTGCCATCTCCCATTGCCTGCTGGAGTATGCCCTGTCCCCCTGCCCTCCCAGCCCAAGTCCATGTGACGACCTGAGCATCACCCAGAGGGGTTCTCCCCACAGAGGCGGGGAGGACGAGAGGGAGGAGGAGGAAGAGGTGAAGAGGTATCAAGAGTTCCAGAAGAAGCAGGTGCAGTGTCTGCTGGAGCTGAGGGAGGCCCAGGCGGACACAGAGGCCGAGCGGAGGCTGGAGCACCTGAGACAGGTGAGGGGGACGTGTGGCAGTGGGGGAGAGGCTGCCTCCTGGACAGGCCTGTCACAGCCCGTGTCACCTGTTGGCCACCTGTGTCTATAGGCTCAGCAGAGGCTCAGGGAGATTGTCATGGATGCTCACACCACTCAGTGCAAGAGACTGAAGGAGATGAACGAGAGGTGAAGGCAGGGGATCTCATGGGCAGACGGGGGATACTCCCTGGTGCCAGGAGGAGGGCAGAGACCCCAGTCCTGCCATTGAGGCTTCCTCTTCCCCCACTGGCTCCTCCAGGGAGAAGAAGGAACTGCAGAAGATCCTGGACAGGAAGCGCCACAACAGTATCTCAGAGGCAAAGACCAGGGAGAAACATAAGAAGGAGGCGTAAGGGCATCAGGGCCGGGAGCCATTTGGGCGCTGGGCAGGCCGGGCCGGGTGCCTGGGCACTGAGCCCATCCTGCCTTGCTCCTGTGCAGGGAACTGACAGAGATTAACCGTCGACACATCACTGAGTCGGTCAACTCCATCCGTCGGGTGAGTGAAGTTCAGGTGCCACCCTAGCCCACCCCTGTTCCTTCAGTCATCGTAAACCTGTATCCTGGGGGCCAGCCTGGTGCTACGTTGTCCTAGAGGGATTTCTAGAGCCTTTTCCTTTGGGTCTGGAAGGTTTGCTATAAGAGTCATCTCAGGACCCTGTGGCCACACAACTCCGGGAGCCTATGCCTGCCTGACTTCTGTGCCCAGGCAGAGCCCTGGGGTCCGGGCCCCTTCCTTAGAGACCCTTGGCTGAGCCCTTGCCCCCCCACAGCTGGAGGAGGCCCAAAAGCAGCGGCAGGAACGCCTTGTGGCCGCGCAGCAGCAGATTCTCCAACAGCTGACAGAAGAGGAGCCCAAGGTGAGGCCTTGGATGAGGGGCAGGCAGGCAGCAGGTAGGCAGGGCGCCGGGTGGCCTGGCTTTGCCTGTGATACTCTTCTTCCTGCAGCTGCTGGCCCAGCTGGCCCAGGAGTGTCAGGAGCAGCGGGAGAGGCTGCCCCAGGAGATCCGCCGGAGCCTGCTGGGCGAGACACCAGAGGGACTGGGGGACGGGCATCTGGTGGCCTGTGCCAGCAATGGTCACGCGCCTGGAAGCAGTGGGCACCTGTCCGGCGCTGATTCGGAGAGCCAAGAGGAGACTACGAAGCTCTGAACTGGCTGAGCAAGAGGTGGCCACCAGGCCAGGGTGGGCACTGGGAGGAGGGCAGGAGGCTAAGACACTAAATGCTTTTTTTTTTTTTTAAACTTTTTATCTTTAAAATTTTATTTTTTTAAACTGGGGTGAGCACCCCACACTAACTCCCTTCCTTCACCCTCCTGGGGCCCCTTTAATCCCCAGTCCCTCCTTCCTGCCCTCAGTCCTAGGGGAGGTGCTGGGTGGGTCACTGTGGGCCAGAAGGGCCTCGCCCCCAGGACACCCACACCCTAGAGTGGGACTCATTTCCCTCACTTCCCCAGGGAACACTGGGTGGAGACTTTGAGCTCCGGGAAGTCGGGGTCACGTTCTTTCTCTATCCTTTGGGGATTTTTTTACATGAATAAAAGTGGATTTCAGGGACCCTGTGTGCAGCGTGGTTTGGGGTGGGGCAGTGCTGGAGAGGACTCGGGCCCTAGATCTGGCTCTGCTACTTCTGGAGCCTCAGTTTTCTCATCTATAAAATGGGATTGTGGGATTGAGGTCAGGCCCCCAACAAAGGGTTGCTGGGTTTCAATCTTGAGACCTCCTTGCCCAGGAACTGCCTGCAGATCTTCCCAGTGACCTGACATCAGAGGCCCTCTGGCCTCCCCCAGGCTTTCCTGCCTCTATGCCCTCTGCCCTGGGCTATCACTCCTGCTCCCCTCTCCTCCCACCACCCCACCCCACCCCCACCCATTACTGTTCTCCCTCCCGGGCTCTTCTTGTCCTCCCTTCACAGAGGCTCAGGCCTCTGCTTCAGGAAGCCTCCCCTGCACCCTCTTCCTGTTGCCTGATATGACCCAAGCACCCAGCATCTTCCGCTGAGGCTGCTCTGGGCCACACAGGCAGTTGACTGTATCGGGGGATGGACCTGTTAGGGGTGGAGCTGGGCAGCTCAGAACCTGCCCAACATCAGGGGACCTGGGCTCTCAGCAATAGGTGGGAAGTGGATGAGCCTGGAAGTGACCTTGGGAGAAGGGAGGCTGACAGTCACAGACACAGGGGCTAGGAGACGCAGCATCCCCCTCATCCCTGTGAGGGAGACGTTATGCCTGTTTTGCAGATGAGGAAACTGAGGCCACAACTAAGTCAAGACGTCCTGACCTGGAGGCAGGGTGGGCCTGGACCCTCTATGGCAGACTGTCTTCGGCCAGCCTGGAGGACCTGCTCCATGCCTCCCCCTCGTGCCCTGGGACAGCGTGGAGTGGCAGAGACCCCGCAGCGAGGGTGCGGCTGGGTTCTGCAGCAGGGTCAGGCTGCTCCATGCCTCCCCCTCCTGCCTGGGACAGCGTGGAGTGGCAGAGACCCCGCAGCGAGGGTGCGGCTGGGCTCTGCAGCAGGGTCAGGCTGGCACTTCTTCAAGGCCTCTCCCAGCTTCCTGGCGCTTCCCGGGCTGCCTCCCTCCTCCAGAGGAAGGCAGCCTCTTATCTGAGCTTATCTCCTGCCAATTGAGTGTTTTCTTTCTTTGTTTTTGCTGCAACCTCGGGCAAACAGATGGGGTGGGGAGGCCAGAGAAACAGGATTTCCAGAGCGGGGACTTCCCAGGGCTGGGGACCTCTGCTTTGGGCGCTGCTCCCTTAGGGTCAGTATCATTGCCCGGGTCTTCCCTGCTTCTGTGGTCAGGTCTTGTCCTAGCCCCAAAGCTGCCCCGTCCAGGCCCCTGAGCAGCTGACTTCCATCTTCCTGACTCCACACATAAACACTACACGTCAGTCCACAGGTCCTCAAAGACCAGGCTAAACTCCAAACTCCTGGGCATGACATTCCGACCCTTGAGAAGCCTGGTCTCTGCAGCTCCCCCATCCTTCCAAGGGTTTACTCTTTCCTCCACTGGGAATGACAGCCCCCTCCCCCATCTCAAGTCTCAGCTCTAGCTCACCTCCTCCCTGAAGCCGTCCCTGACTTTACCCTGCCGGAGGGAGCCGCCCTCAACCCGCTTCCAGGCCCCTGTTATAGCACTGGCTGACAGTAACTCCACTGTGAGAGGCTGGCTTTCCCCTTGCCAGAAAGCTTGGGACAGCAGGGGCTGTGGCGTAATTCATCTCTGTGTACCTAGTACAAAGTGCTGGCTTGTCTGTAGGGGGCGCCAATAAATCTTTCTGAAATTGAGCTCTGAGCTCTGCTCCCAGGTCCTGGTGAAGCTTCTCGGGTTCCCTAGCCATCGCTCTACTCACAGCCCTGACCCGAGCGTTCCACCCCCTCCCCCGCCCTACGCGTCCAGCCAGTTCCCTGAGGAGCGCTGGCCCCAGGCCGGCCACACAGTAGCTGCTCAAAAGGACTGACCCAAATAGGAACAAATGACCCTCCCCTGGGGGACTGCGGCACGGTTTGCAGTGCGTGGAATTCCGGCGGCCAGCCGGCCTGCAGTTCCCAATTACCATATTAGAGATAAGGACCTGGAGGTCCCCGAGGTCCGGTCGCACTCCGCTTCCCGGAGGCCGAGCAGCCGTGGCTCTGCTCGCCGCCTCAACCCCTCTCTGATCTCGGTCCCATGATGTCACTCAGAAACAGCCTCAATTTCCCTTATATATAAAACGAGGGCATCTTTTGAAACTCTGTCAGTGCTACCGCTCCCCCTGCCCGCGAAGCCCCAAGCGACGGACATAGGAGACTCCACGGCACAGACGCGGGCTTTATTACCACATTTCTAGCGAGCATCGGCCCGCAGCGTTACCGCGGAGGAAAGGGTTCTGGCGAAGTTAGGGTTAATTCCCGCTCGCAACTGGCGAAGGCGACTGTGGCAGCCCAGTGCCGGGGGCGGGGTCACAGGGCCATTTCCAGCACCTAAGGGCGGAAAAACTTCAAGACTTCCGACGGGGGCCGAGCCCCTCCGCGGTCCTCGCACACACCGGAAGGGAATTGGGCTCTGGGTCAGACCGCCTCCTTCTGAAAGGGACGAAACAGCCTCCTTTTGCATAAGGCCTGCAGAAAAGACTTCCGCCCACTCCCAAGATGGCCGCCAGCAGCGGTTCGGAGATTCGGGATGTGGGACAGAAGGTCACTGGGAGGGGGCGGGGCCTCCTCTCCCCAAGTTCCGGTTCCACCAGGACTGAAGGAAGCGCGTCCAGCTGGGGCTTTGTCGCATCTGCGCCGCTGTGCCCGCGCTGTTCGGGCGAGGAAGTCCCTTCGGGGTGGGAGGAGGAAAGGGTTATGTGAATTAGCTTATCCTGGCACCTCGAGCCTGGCCCCTCCGCTTCCGGAATCCCACCGCCAAGTGAGATCACGGGGGAGATAAAGACAATAGTGCCAGCAGGCCCTGTACCGAGATCCCAGACCCTCCATGCCGGGGGCGGGAAGAGAGGATGCCTAGGACCCTGTAAGCGCCAGAGCTGGAGATCTGGCACCTGGAAGATGGGACCGTAATTCGAAAATTAAAGAAGGGGTTCCGAAATTGAGGTCCAGGAACCCGGATATCCGAAAGAGGTCGGTCAGGAGCACAGATGCCAGCATGCCCCGCGCTCAAAGGATTTGGGGAACCCAGGAGCCTGGGCCTTCTGGAGCGGGGTCTGGGTTATAGATCCCGAAATGCCCTGGGACTCGGGAAAGGACAGGCTGGAGGGAGGAGTCCCGAGACCGCAAATCCCGACATGCAGTGGGACTCGAATGGGACAGCCCAGTGGGAGGAGCCCCGGGAGTATAGGTCCCGGCATGCTCCGGGACTACGGTGCCTTGTGCGCCCCGGCCGGAGCTCACCTTGAAGGAGCCGTGGAACTCGTCGCTCATCCTCCGGAGCTCGCGGCCATATCGCTGTGCAGCCCAGAGGTTGGGGGGCGCCGAGCTCGAGCGGCCCCGGAAGGGGCTGGGCTCCTCCTCCTCCGTCCCTTCTTCATCCTCCGTCCCCGCGGAGTAGAAGCTGTGGCGACTCCGGGTCTCCACAGCCCCAGTGCCTGCAGAGAAGGTCAGGGGGTGGGGACGACGTGAATCTCAACTCCTCTGTGGCCCCAGCTCTGCCGAAGCCCTCAGCATTAGCTCCGTCGGCCCGCTGTGGTCTTTGCGTGCACATCACTCTACCTCTCAGAGCCCCAGTTCCCTCCTAAGGGAAACTCATGGGGCTTTTGTGAAGATTCGAATTAACTTCTCACTAATCCCACAAATCTTAATTGAGCCCCAATAATGGGCCAGGCCCTTAGTGTATAAAATGACTTTCCTCTGTGCCTGGCACAAAATAAGGGCATAAGAACTAGTAGTTAGAGCTGCGAGTGCGTGATGCTGGGGCTTCCCAGCAACCCCCTGGGCCGGTAGCTCTTTCCTCAGCCCCATTCCCCCGCAGAGGAAGCCAGTCCCCTGGATGAGGAGGTCGCCCCAGCCAGGCGACCTGCAGCTGACCTGCTGGGGTCCATTTGTTGCACTGCTGTGGCCTACAGGAGACCTTGGGCCCCCAGAGAACAAGAGCCTGTCAGCAGCGTGTCTGTACCTCTCACAGCACCCACTTTGGAGAAATTGTCCAGAAAGGTCTGTTGACTTTAGGTAATACTTAGGGAGCACTTGCTGTGTGCTAGTAGGCCCTGGGCATTACTTCATTATCCTCCTAACCATCCTGGGAGGTGAGTACTAACATTGCTTCCACTTTGCAGATGAGAAGACAGAGGCTTAAGAGAGGTTAAGACTTGCGCAGGGTCCCACAGCTGTGAAGCTCTGAGGCTAGAAGTCCCTAGAGGTTTGTTGGAATCCAGAGTCCAGTGATTATCCATTGAGCTACACTTCTTCCCTTGTCCAGCTGCCCTTCAACTCCCTGCACCTGTGCCCTCACCTCTCTGTGGGGATAAACGTAGTCCTTACTACCAGTGACTGCATAAGGGTCACATAAAGAGCTGGAAAGTGCTAAGTTGAAAGGGCGTGGTGGATCATTATGCAAAGAGGTGTGTCCTGAGTTTGACCGACGTAGGTACTGTGTGCCATCTCCCGAACTCCTGCCAACCCCACCCCCATACGCAGTCCAGCAAAGACCTAGAACACTCCCAGGAGCAAAATCCAGAACTAAGTATAGAGTGAAAGACAGGCATGGAAGAAGTGCAGGGGGCCAGCGTCCACAGGGAGGCGTTTTGGAGAAACTAAGATCTAGACCCGGTCTTGAAACCAGGGGTAACTGTCTCATCCCCTCCCAAAAGGCCTGTGGGTCAGCTCCAGGGCTGCTGGGCCTCCAAGGGTCCCATCTCCAGACACATGGCTGAGAAAGCCAAAAAGGGAAGAGGGGGCTGGATCCAGAAAGGCCTAGGCTAAGCGGGTGGTCAGAGCTCCTGGGCGTCACCAAAGCCTGAGGTCAGGTAGGTAGGGAGACCATAAAGCCTTTGAGGAGTGAGTTGGCAGTGGGGAACGGGCAGCTAAATCAGCAGCTGGGATTGGGCGTGGGGGCTAAGGAGCTGAGAGCAGCAAGACCCCTGATGAGAATAGGCCCATCTGCAGAGCGCTGACCAGTTCCGTGAGGCGTGGGCAGCAGGGCCGGGGTCCCCACCACCACCTTCCTGCTTTGTGACCTGGGACCTTTTCTTTAATCCCTTGGGGCCTCAGTGTAGTCCTCTGTGAAATGGACCCCAGACCCCAGGACCTCCACAAGAACAAATGACACAGGGAGAGCACCCAGTTCTGCATTTTTCATGTCCTGCAGGCTCCCAGCTTCCCAGTGAAGCAGAGGCCAAGTTCTCCCTATTTCACACATGAGGAAGTAGAAGCACAGAGAGGTTAGGAACTTGCCCAGGGTCGCACAGCTGGTACACCCTGCCCGGTCACTTAAATGCTTAGGAAACATCAGCTATTATTTTCCTTTACCAGCACTAAGAATACACACACCTCCACACTTGACAGATGCAAGGCCCAAGGGTCAGAAGATGAGTGATTGGCAGGGGGGCACTGCACCCTCGCCTAGGAATCAGAGCAAGCAGAAGAGCACTCGCTGTGTCAGGTTGGAAGTGTGCTTCGTGTGTATCAATTCCTTACGTCCTCATCACATCCTATGAAGGAGGTTACTCCCTGTCTCCATTTTACAGAGGAGAAAACTAAGGCACAGAGAGGGTAAGTAACTTGCCCAAGGTCACACAGCTAGTAGATGGCAGAGCTGGGATTCCAACCCAACCATTCTGGCTCCTGTGCCTGTGTGCTTAACTCTCATGCCCCCGGCTCCCTCCAGCAGCACCACGGGCCACCTTGGGGCCTCAGGTCTGGGAAGGCACCCCTGGTCCTCCTTCTGTAAGTGCCAGCTCTACCAGCGGCCTACCCTAAGGAGTGGGGATTTTTACCAAAGCCGTGGATTTAGCAACGCCAAGCCAGCCATTGTCAAAATGACACTCCTGAGTGTAAACTGACCATTTAAGTGTCCTTCTGTTTACTAGAAAAAAATCTGAGGGATTTTCTGTGAACTCCCAGGGGGAAGTGGATATGCCCCTCCCACCCTATGCATCCAACCTTCAATCAGCTCTCACCCCTACATGCCCCGGGGCACGGCAGAGGTGGCCTCTCCCAGTTTGGGGAAGGTAAGGGTGAGAGATGGGCGTGGCTCCTGTCTGGTTGTGAGCATGGGTGGGTACCCAGGCCTGCCCACTCACACCATCCTTCCAGAGAGCCTGCCTGGGGCTGGGGTGGGGAATTGGGAGGGGCCTAGGGCTGGAGGTGCCCCGAGGCCCACCACCAGGCTTTAAGTTCTTTACCCATTGGGCTTCTGGGTACGTGCATGGGGCTGGACACATCCATGTTCATGCTTCTGTGAGCATCCTTGCACACTTCATTAAAACAGTGATGTTCCAGACAGTTTGAGGCAGTGAGGCTTTGCCATCAGGCAGGGCTGGGTTTGGATCCTGCTCTACCACACGTGGGTGGTGCACTTACTGTTCGCCCCCAGCAGGAGAGCAGCGTGGCACTCCTCCCTGAGCAGGTGCGCTGCCTGTCGTGTCTTGGCCGAGGCTTCCTGTGTCCCCAAAGCCGTTTGGGGTACAAAAGCCCCTTACCGTCCTGTAGAGAACATACCCCCACCTTGCTCAGAGCTGAGGAAATCAGAAAACACTAAAGCAGAGGCTGGCAAATGTTTTCTGTAAAGGGCCACATAGTAAATATTTTGGGCATTGCAGGCCACACAGTCTCTGTCACAACTACTCAACATTGCAGTCATAGCTTGAAAGAAGCCAGAAACAATATATACATGGCTGTGCATTGCTGTATTCCACCAAAATTGTATTTGGGACACTGAAATAAAATATTATTCTTTGGGACTTCCCCGGTGGCACAGTGATTAAGAATCCGCCTGCCAATGCAGGGGACATGGGTTCGAGCCCTGGTCCGGGAAGATCCCACATGCCGCGGAGCGGCTGGGCCCGTGAGCCATGGCCGCTGAGCCTGCGCATCCGGAGCCTGTGCTCCGCAACGGGAGAGACAACAGTGAGAGGCCCGTGTACCACAAAAAAACAAAAAAAAAGAAAAGAAAAAATTGAAGTGTAGTCGATTTACAATGATGTGTTAGTTTCAGGTATACAGCAAAGTGATTCAGTTATACATACATATACATATATATATTCCTGTTCAGATTCTTTTCCATTATAGGTTATTAATCCCTGATCGGGGAACTAAGATCGCACAAGCTGAGCGTGGTACGGCCAAAAAGAAAAAAATATCCCCAAATCCTAATTTATCCCTTCCCACCTCCTTTCCCCTTTGGTAACCGTAAGTTTGTTTTCTATGTCTGTGAGTCTATTTCTGTTTTGTAAGTAAGTTCATTTGTATCATTTTTTTTAGTTTCACATATAAGTGATATCATGTGATATTTTCTTTCTCTGACTTCACTTACTATGGTGAAGTACGAACCCGTGTCCCCTGCATCGGCAGGCGGACTCTCAACCACTGCGCCACCAGGGAAGCCCACACTTCAATTTTTTAAAAAGGAAAAACAAAGAAAACTGAGGCAGAGTTAAGTAACCTGCTCAAGCTCGAGCTACCAGTAGAGGGGAGAGCTGAGCTTGACCCCTGCAGTCTGGCCCAGGGCCCGGCACTGGGCTGCTTCTCCCACTGCATGTCCTTCCTCCCCTCTTCATCATCCATGCACCAGCCGCCCCAGGCACCAGGCTATGCAATGGAGCTGTCACAGCACACAAGGTGGCCACAGGCCCACCCTGGGGACACACGCCGTCCACTACAGCAGGGGTGTGGGGGCAGGGATTATGAAGAGTGACAGGACCCTGCCCATCTGGAGGGGGCAGTGGCCCTGTGGCTCTGGCAGGTCGCTGGCACTTGCGGATCTTTTATGGAAAAATCACTTGCTTTTTAGACATCGAAAACTAAGTCCAAAGTTTAAGGATGGGCATCCCTGGAGGCGCAGTGGTTAAGAATCCACCTGCCAATGCAGGGGACACAGGTTCGAGCCCTGGTCAGGGAAGATCCCACATGCCGCGGAGCAACTAAGCCCATGAGCCACAACTACTGAACCTGCGCTCTAGATCCCGTGAGCCACAACTACTGAGCCCACGAGCCACAACTACTGAATCCCACGCCTAGAGCCCATGCTTCACAATAAGAGAAGAAGCCACTGTAATGAGAAGCCTGCGCACCGCAATGAAGAGTAGCCCCCGCTCACTGCAACTAGAGAAAGCCTGCGCGCAGCAACAGACTCAATGCTGCCAAAAATTAATTAATTAAAAAAGAAAAGTTTAAGGAATCCAGTGCAGTCCTCTTACATGGTGGCTATTTTCTCCCCTGCAGGCCTTCTCATGGCTGGACCTGGAGCTGGGATAGGCATTCCCTTGGCTTATTGCTGCTTCAGACCATTCTCACTCCTTCCTCCACAAATCTAGTTTCTTGGGCTGTGCCACCCTTCCCACTCCGGGCCTCAAGCACCCACCGCCCACAGGGTGGGCCCCTTGTGGGTGCAGGAGATTACTGGAGCTCCCTGCCGTTCTCTCCCCAGCCACTCCCTTAGCCGCTCGTGTCTTCATTCATTCATGGCACCGAAGTGGTCCTTCCCAGCTCCCTGCCTTGGCACCCCAACTCTAATGATGCTGGGACTCCTCACACTTGGCCAGCCTACACTGCACACGAGCTAAGCCCCCAGCCACCTCTCTCACTGGGCTGAGACCAGCACAGGTCTGGTTAAGGCCAACTCCCTGCCAGTTCCCACAGGCAGCCGACTGGCCAGTGGGGCTGGAGGAAAGCACAGCCGTGCCACCTCAGTTCAAATTCACGGTCACGAGACCCAGTGGCACCCTAGATGTTGCCCAGCACACCTTCCACACTCCATCCTCTAGGCCAAGACAACCACTTCAAACCTGCTCCTCTCTTCCCATCAGCCCCCATCCCTCTCCCAACCCTCACTCCTGGCTCAAGACCTGGCTTCCTTTTACCAAGAAAATGGAAGCACCCATGAGAGAGACTTCTACTAGTTCCCATGAGGTATCTCCCCCTGCCCTCCACCGCTCTTAGCTGAGCCGCCCCTCCCCTGCACACCAGACTGCTCTCTCCTACTCAGGGACACCTCTCCAGCAAGCTTCCCTTCTCTTCTGCATCCTCCAGTATTTTCCTCGCTCCTGGATTACTCCATCAGCTTACAAACATGCTCTTTTGGGAATTCCCTGGCGGTCCAGTGGTTAAGACTCCATGCTTCCACTGCAGGGGGCATGGGTTCCATCCCTGGTTGGGGAACTAAGATCCCACAAGCCGCGCAGCATGGGCCCACCACCACCAAATGCTCTTTTCATTTCCCTTTCTATCATAAAAGACATAATAAAACAACCCTTCCTTGACCCTCCTTGGGCCTTCAGCTGCCACCCGCTCCTCTGTTCCTCTTTGCCAGAGCTCAGCTGCCGAGAGGGGGTGGGCTCCCCTTTCTACCTCCAACCCTCTTCCTATCATCCCTCCCCACTTGCCACCCAAGCTGCACTGGCCCTGTGTCGAGTCCAGTGCTCTACTCACAGTCCTCCTCCAGCAGCCCTGGAAGGAGCCTCACGGGTTCAGCTCGCCCTCTCCTTACCAGACCGCTCCCTCCTTCTCAGACCCCAGTGCTGACTCCTCCTCTCCTGCTGCCCTCTGCAGACTGGATCCCCAGGCTTAGTCCAGCTCCTCCCCTGTCTACACTGGTTCCCAGGGCCCACAGAACACTACATCAGCGACTGCCAACTTCTACAGGTATCTATCCCTACTAGAAGTCTCCACCTGCATGCCCAAAAGGCACCTCTAACCTGCTCTGGCCCAAACAGGGCTCCTGATCTCACCCCACGCCGTCTCAGTTCCATCTCAGTTAAGAGTGACTCCATCCTTCCAGGTGCCCAGGCCAGATCCCTTGCAGCCATCTTCTCTGTGCCTCATACCCCACAACTGTCTGCCAGCAAATCCTGCCAGCTGTACCTTCAAGAGAAACCCAGAGTCCAGCTGCTTACCACTTCCACCACCACCAGCCTGGCACAGATCACCATCCTCCTCTGTGGCACCGCCCCTGCCTCTGCCCAATGCAGACCCGGCTCAACACAGGGGCCCTGGTGATTCTCTCGAGGTCCAAATAAGATCAAAGCCCTCTAGGTTTTCACTCAAAGTGAAAGCCAGAGTCCTCACCTGGGCCTTCAAGGCCCTGTCCATTGGCCCCTCCCCCTCCCTTAACTCTCCAATCTCCCTCCCCTCACTGGCCTGAACTGTGTCCTGACCTCAGGGCCTTTGCATGTGCCCTTCCCTCCGCCTGCAGGTCTCTGCCTGCATCTGTCTTCCCAGAGACCTCTGCCTGGCTCACCCCTCATTGATTCTAGCCTTTGCTGAAATGTTGCTTCTTACCAAGGCCCACCCTGACCACCTCAGTTAAAATCACTCCCCCGGCCCCCCAATACTCTGGATTCCAATGAGAAAGTCAAGAGTGTGTCACGTAGTGCATCATCTTCTAACGCATTATATCACTCACTACTTTGTTTCTTTGTTTATGGTTTGTCTCCCTCTACCTACTAGAATGTGGGCAACCACAAGGGCAAGGGTTTCTCTCTTCTGGTCACTGATGAACCCCTGGCAGCTGGAACATACATTCAGCACTTGACACAGAAGATGGGAAGGGACAGCCGGGTGTGCGGGGTGGGCAGAAAGCTGTTTCAAGCAGAAAAACAGCAAGTGCAAAAATCTGGAAGTTGGGCTTCCCTGGTGGCGCAGTGGTTGAGAGTCCGCCTGTCGATGCAGGGGACACGGGTTCGTGCCCCGGTCCGGGAAGATCCCACATGCCGCGGAGCGGCTGGGCCCGTGAGCCATGGCCGCTGAGTCTGCGCGTCCGGAGCCTGTGCTCCGCAACGGGAGAGGCCACAACAGTGAGAGGCCCGCATATCGCAACAAAAAAAAAAAAAAAAGAAAATCTGGAAGTTAAAGAAAACCTGCGGAGTTCAGTGTGACAGACAGTGGGCTAGGGAGGATTTTTTGTTTTGTTTTGTATTAGAGATTATATCCCTGACTAATAACTGAATACCAACCTTTTTGTTTGTTTGTTTCTTTTTTTTTTTTTTGGCTGCACCGCATGGCTTGCAGGATCCTAGTTCCCTGACCAGGGATTGAACCCAGGTCCTAGGTAGTGACAGCACTGAGTCCTAACCAATGGACTGCCAGGGAATTCCCTGGGGAGGGGGTCTTAATAAGCCTTCCTGCTCCTGAAAATGGGAGGGCGTCAATTCGGCTTCCACAGGTGAGGGACATGAGTTTTGTTTTCAGAAGATCTTTGTGGTTGTTCCAGGTGCCAAGGCTTGTGCTGGCCACTGGGGAGGTGGGGACTACAGAGAAATGGCCACTGCCCTCCAGGGCCCATCCTTCCATCTCAGCGCTGGGTCCCCCTCAGTAGATGTGGAGGACAGCCGATGCTTCCCCAGCCCCACACAGACCCGCTGCCTGGTAGGGCTGTCTGCCTCTTGGGGTCACCTGGCCCTGGCAACTGGCAAGGACAACCCGCGTGTGAGCCACAGGGCTGGAAAGAACATAGCTGGGGCTGGAAGGCTGGATCCCGGGATCTCAGGGAAAGTGCTAGCCTGGGGCAGGGCACCACCAAGTCTTCTAGCCCCAAGGAAATGCCAAGCAAGTGTGACCTAAGTTGCCTCTCAGTGATTCTGGCCCTAAGCTAAGAGCTGCGTACTTTGACCACTTACCAAGCACCAGCTCTATAATTGCTTCTTAGGTATTCCTAATCATCCCCACAGCACTACGTTGGTGGTGACTAATTGCTTTGTTTTACCGAGGAGGAAGCTGAGGTGCAGAGAGGTTAGGGACTTGCTCAAAGCCACGCAGTGAGTGTGGATGTGGCTGGGGTGCAGGGAGCTACTGGGCTGGAGGCCAGGTGGTTGTTTTGGGGGCAGGGGTGCCTACCTCCATGGTGGCTGCTGCTGGCTGGCTGCCCCTGCTGGTGACCAGCTTCCCCCAGGAGGCCTGGGGCCGTTTGCTGGTGCTTGCTGGGACCTGGGGGCCTGTCCCCTGTGGGGCTGGGGCCCAGGCCCCTATCTGCAGGCCTGGAGTCTTCCTGCTCACTCTGCTCAAACTCTGGGATCTGGAACATGCTCTGGGCTGCGGGGGTAAGATGGTAGGTGGTTAGGGCACAGCTGGGGCTAACGGGGGCCGGCGGTGGGGGGGGGGGGGGGGCGCAGGCATCCCTGGCTCCCTCTCCCACCTCAGAACCCCAGGTCCACCCTGCCTCCCAGGCCCCCATCTGTCCGTTGAGTCTGGCACAGCAGGAAGCTCAACCTACCCACCCAGGATCTAAATCTCTCAGAGCCCTGGGGCGGTACGGCAGCCCCAGGCCCCTACCCAGGCCTCGGCCAGACCCGCCCGTGGTGACGGCACACAGGTCTCACCCCAAGCCCGATCTCGAGGCCCCTGACCCGGGCCCGCCGCGTCCCTCTAGCACCGAGGGAGCCCGGCCCTAGTTGCCTGGGCAACGGGAACTGTCACCGACACGGCCCAATCAGCTCTCGAAATGTCACTAACTGGCCAGCAGGCGGGGCTACTAACGGCCCGGGCCCCGCCCACCACCTTCCTCCTGGGTACCTTCTACGTCTCCGGATGCTCAGCTCCCGACTTCCTTATGCCTTGGGCGTGTGTGGGAGCAGATGAGGGGTTCTTTGGGGTCCCCATCTGGAGGCCAGCTCCTGCTGACGAGTCCTTCAGGCCCTCTGGGCCTTAATTCCCACCCCTGTATAATGGGGATAATGACACCTCCCTCAGGAGTCGGTGATCCTTGTAAACTGAGTGGTGATTACTGTGGGTGAAGGCACTTTGCAAAGTCTTAATTGAAGCTCAGCCGTCGGATGCAACTGTTGTTGTTGTCACTGCTCCGTCAGAACCGGGTGGCCGGCTCGGGAAGTCCCCCTCCCTTCTTCCCGCGGTGGAAAGCTCGCACCGCCCGCATCAGGGGCGCCACTCCCCGCGCCAACTCGGGAGCACTCGAGATAAGAGAGGGAGCCTTCGCCCTGGCAGGATGACTGCCCCGGCGCAGAAGGGACAGGGGCCCCTGTGAGGGTGACCATAGGACTCGCGGAGCCTCGCGCCTGGCAGACGGCGGGCCAGGTGAGCGGGAATTGCCGCCGGCCAGGGAGTGCGCGGGCCGGCTAGCGCGGGCTGCGGGGCCAGGCGGGATAAGGCCCGGGGGGCGGGCCCCGGAGGCCATCTTGGCTGAGGGCGGAAGTTTCGTTCAGAGACCGGGTGAAGGGAAGTCGTTACCGCCCCGGGTCGGGCGGCATGATCTCGATTTGAGGATGGGGAAGAGAAGCATGGGAACTGCCGGCCCCCCAAAGAAGCAAGGGCAGCTGGCCCCGGGCAGTGCCCACCCGGGCACTGGCCGGACGCGGCGCAGCCCGAGCGTCACGGCCGCTCGCCGCCTCTTGTAACCCCTGACGCCCGCCGGCGGCGCAAGTCGCGCCAATTCTCGAACGGTTCCGCGCCGGGCGCGGCGCGGTTCTGCGTAGCAGGGGCCAGACTCTGAGCAATTTGCGTAGCGAACGGCGGCCGCGCAGGCGCAGGAGGGGGCGGAGCAGCGGGAGCCGGGGAGCCGGAGCCCCGCGTCCCAGCGACCGGAGCCGGCTACCCATCGGCGGCCTGAGGACCCGTCGTCGGTCTCCTCCCGCCCCCCGCGGCTGGGGAGTAGACACAGTGGGGGGTGGGGTGGGGGCAGCGTCCGGAATCCCGAGGACGGAAGGCAGAGGCCCTCCCCATCCGGCTTGTTGGAGGGGAAAGAGTCCCCCAGTTTGGGGAGGGGGAGAGCCAGGCGTTGAGCGTCCCCAGCAGCGGCCGCAACCCTGAGCAGACTGGCGTTGGCCGGCTCTCCCCCTCCTGCCAGGACGACTCCAGCGACCAAGACCAGGGACCCCTCTTCTTCAGACTCTGCACCTCCACCCCTCTCCCCACCCCCGGCTCTGAGGCTGGCCCAGAGAGCAGTGCTCCCATCCCCCTCTGCCCTGGAGAGGAAAGGCTGTCCTTCCACACCCCTGAGTGAGGGGCCCAGGTTTCCTGTGCCCCGCAAAGGCAAGGGTCCCTCTATTCAGGGGGGGAGGGCCTGGCCAGCCACAACTTCTTTCCCCCTGAGCTCCCCATCTCTGTCTCTGCACCCTACAACTCCCACCCCTCCGTATTTATTTCCCTGGCCCCCTGCCAGCCCCTCCATCTCTGTCTCCGGGATTCAGGCCTCCCTCCCTGACATGGAGAGTAACCTGTCTGGCCTGGTGCCTGCTGCTGGGCTGGTGCCTGCGCTGCCGCCCGCCGTGACCCTGGGGCTGACTGCGGCCTACACCACTCTGTACGCCCTGCTCTTCTTCTCCGTCTATGCCCAGCTCTGGCTGGTGCTCCTGTATGGGCACAAGCGTCTCAGCTATCAGACGGTGTTCCTGGCACTCTGTCTGCTCTGGGCTGCTTTGCGTACCACCCTCTTCTCCTTCTACTTTCGAGATACACCCCGAGCCAACCGTCTGGGGCCACTGCCCTTCTGGCTTCTCTACTGCTGTCCTGTCTGCCTCCAGTTCTTCACACTGACGCTTATGAACCTCTACTTTGCCCAGGTAACCATGGTGACGGGTGGGGGCGGGCAATGGGGTGGCAAGCCCCAAGGGCCCCAAAGAATGATGGGCATCTCTGCTCCCCAGGTGGTGTTCAAGGCCAAGGCAAAGCGTCGGCCAGAGATGAGCCGAGGCTTGTAAGTACTCGGGACACTGGTGGGTTCAGCCTCCAGGTCAGGGGCAGGGAGAAGCCCGGTGTCCATTCCTTCCTCCCTGGTAGGTCTGAGGCGAGGACAACCCAGAATATTTGTGAAAAGCTTGGAAGAGTTAGGCATCTGGTGCGGATGGCTCAGCAGGGGCATTGCATATGTGAAGGACAACTATAATAGAAACAGTTGACATACTGTGAAGGGAGAGGGTACCAATGTCATCCATGATGGAGGAAGAGTTGGAGGCTCCAGCCCTTGGAAACTCCAAAGCCAAAGGGCACTTCTGGGTGACCTTGGGCAGTGATACTCTTGTCATTTGTATAACATCTCACAGTTTATTAAGAGCTTTCACAAACATCTTTAATTTTTACAACTTACCTGTGAAGCTGTTATTAGCCCCATTTGAGAGGCGACGACACTGAGGCCCAGCAAGGTAAAGCAACATGTTCATGATCACACACCTGGCAGGAGGCACAGCCAGGCTTAAACCCAGATTCCTGACTCCCAATCCAGTGCTCTTTCTGCTGTACCACAGCCGTCAGTCATCTTCTGACCCCTTTAGCTTCAGTTTCCTCATCTGTAAAACTAGAGGAGCAGGGTTCAGACTGGATGACCTGAGGTTCTGATGGACACCGGGGTCTCCTGGGGGAGGCTGGGTGGTTGGGGAGCGCCAAGGGTGGTCTTCTGGGGCTGACCGTGTTGTGGGCCGCAGGCTGGCTGTCCGAGGGGCCTTCGTGGGGGCCTCGCTGCTCTTTCTGCTGGTGAATGTGCTGTGTGCAGTGCTGTCCCGCCGGCGCCGGGCACAGCCCTGGGCCCTCCTGCTGGTGCGCGTCCTGGTGAGCGACTCCCTGTTTGTTATCTGCGCACTCTCTCTTGCCGCCTGCCTCTGCCTTGTCGCCCGGCGGGCTCCCTCCACCAGCATCTACCTGGAGGCCAAGGTAGGGCCACAAGGGCTGATGCCTGAGTGTCCTGTGGGGTGTTTGGGGTCTTCAGAGTAGAGAGAAAGCTGGAGCCTACCCTCCCTAAGGATCCTCTGTTGTCATCTGTGCCAGGGGACCAGCGTGTGCCAGGCAGCTGCGATGGGTGGCGCCATGGTTCTGCTCTATGCCAGCCGGGCCTGCTACAACCTGGCGGCCCTGGCCTTGGCCCCCCGGAGCCGGCTGGACGCCTTCGATTATGACTGGTACAACGTCTCTGATCAGGTGGGCATTCGGCACGTCTGCCGCCTCCTCAGTAGCTGTGGCTCTTGGCCCCAAGCTGGCCTGGACCATGTCTGGGTGCCCCATTGGCACGACTGCAGGTTGGCACAGCCCCTGCCTCCCCACAGGCGGACCTGGTGAACGACCTGGGGAACAAAGGCTACCTGGTGTTTGGCCTCATCCTCTTTGTGTGGGAGCTGCTGCCCACCACCCTGCTGGTGGGCTTCTTCCGGGTGCACCGGCCCCCGCAGGACCTGGTGAGGGCCAGTGGAGAGGGGCGGCACTGGGGGTACCTGGGCTGGGTTCTGGGGGTTGGGGGAGGGCAGTGGGGGGCAGGAGGAAGCATCAATGGCGGCTCCCTCCCCCAGAGCACCAGCCGCATCCTCAACGGGCAGGTCTTTGGCTCCCGTTCCTACTTCTTCGACCGGGCACACTGCGAGGATGAGGGCTGCTCTTGGGAGCACAGCCGGGGTGAGAGCACCAGGTAGGAGTCCCGGTTCCACCTCAGGAGCCCTGGGCTCCCGGGTTGCCCCACTGAGCCTTGGGGACCTATAGCTGGGCCTTCCCACACCCCCACCCGTGCCACGATCTGTACCAGGTGAGGTCCCCTGTGGTTTGCTATTGCTGAAGCCTCCACCTCTCCCTCCAAGATGAAGTTTGCCATAGTCAGAGAGGTCTGGGTCACTGGGCTCTTCCAGGTGTCTCTCCCTCCCCCAACTCTTGCGACTGTGGTCCTAGTGACTGTCGTGGGACTGAGCCTGTTTCTCTGCCTGCAGCATGTCAGGCAGCCTAGGCTCCAGCAGCTGGTACGGTGCCATCGGGCGGGAGCCAGGCTGGTGCGGGGGCAGCCAGACGCGGACCACTCCTCTGCTCTTCTCCCAGGTTCTGGGACCAGGCAGCCACCATCACAGTCTCTACTCTACCCCACAGACGTGATCCCCCTTCATCTCCCCGCAGAACACCCAGACCCCAGTCCCTCCCACCCCAGACCCCTGTGCCAAGTTCATCTGCCGCTTCTTGCCCGGGATCCCGGGGGCTGTGGCTGCCTCTTTCCCAGGCCGGCTCCTTGCTACTCCTGTTGTAGTGAGCTTGTGCTGTCCCCGAGGATGGGGGGCATGGCCCTGGCTGCCAGAGGCTCATAGCAGCCTGGCATGATCTACCACCTCTGCTTCCACACCAGAGCCAGCTACCTGTCCTGCGCCTGCCACTCAATAAACAGTGTCTGTGCCCCGAGTCTATTCACTGTCTGTCAGTTGTCTGCTTGTGTTTCTCACACCGTTGCCTGTTTGGTCTAAGGCCGATCAGACACCGGCCCTTGAGGGGGGCTGCTGGGCTGGGCAGGGGCCATTTACCTCCCCCGAGGCTGGTGGGTGAGGAGACGGAGGAGCCTGCAGTCTGAGGGGAAGAGAGACCAGAAGAGAGACCACTCCAGTCCCCTTGCCGCTTGAATAATTTCTACTCTTTTCTCAAGATCTTCAAATTTCACCTCCTTTATGAAGCCTACCATCTCCAGGTCAGGGAACTGTGTCCCCCCCTCCCGGGTCCCTTGGCACAGTGATTGCATGGCTCCTATGCCTCTTACCCTTAGTGGGTAGGGATTTCTAGAGACCCTGTTTCCCTGTCATTATGCCCAACCTGGCCTTCAGGTCCAGGAGTTAGTCCAAGGCCTGCGGAGGAGGAGCTGGCCAGTAACCAAGCAGCCCCCATCTCCCTAGCAGGTGTGGATTTGGCCAGATGGTTGGTCTGCCCCGACACAGCCTGCCTGGTGGTCCTGGGGGGCCCCTTCCCTGACTGTCCCTAATAGTGCAGCCACTGCCCTCTGTAGTCACAGCCCTTACAGATGTCATCTGTCCCTCGGCCGGGAGTCATTTATCAGAGGGTCTGTCTCCTGCCCATGTGTGTGGCCAATTGTTCCAGCTCCTGGGAGTTCCTGGGGCCTAGCACGGAGCCTGTCTTGAAACCCTTCACCTGGGGCTCTCGTAAGCAGCAGGCCGCATCTGAGACTCAGAGAGTCGGCTCAAAACTGGACCAACACTTTTTGTTGAAAGGAAAATTGCCAACATTTGTAGGGCACTTAGTTGTGAGTGCCAGGCTCTGTTTCCAGCATTTACAAATGCCAACCACTTTAATGCTCAGAACAGCAGCCTGAGGGGAGAGTCATCCCTTTTCTTTTCTGTAAGTGGGGACTGGGAGGTGGGGAGAGTTCGGTAACCTGTCTAGGCCCCCTACTGGTAGAGGATGGCCAGCCTTAGAGCCCATGCTTAAAACCACCCAAGTGAAGGCTGAGGCCCCCAGGCAAGAGGAGGGTCTTTGGCAAGATCCGAGTTGTAAAGAAATGGGTAAGAGCAGAGAGGAGATGAGTTCCAGGACCTGCCAGGGCCCTGCTGTTCAGACAGTGGGGGAGGGAGTGCTGGCACCAGCTCCTGGCTGGGGGATGGGCATGGAAGTGAGGAACAAAAGATGGGGATGCAGGAGGTGCCCCACCTTGATTTCCCAGAGCTTGGTCCCAACCCTACCTCGGCCAATTACAGGTTGCCCCAGGGGATCCCCCACCCCTTTGTCCCCTGGGGTCTCCTCCCTCATGAGTGCAGAGCCCAAGGGCCAGGCTGTCCCTCGGGGCGGGGAGCTGAGGGCCCTTCCCACCTGGTAGTGGGCCTGGAAGATGCTGGGAGATTAGAGTGGAGCCTGTCCGAAGAGGTGAGCCGGCTGATGTCCAAGTTGGGGCCGTGCCGCTGGCCACGCTGGCTGGCCAACAGGGCAGAACCAGGGCCCCGGTCTGAGACTCCAGGCCTGACCCAACGGCGACCCCTCCCGGGCTCCTCTGCCAATCATCTCCCGGGACTGGCCAGGATTGGGGGGCTGGGCAGCCGCAGGTAAGGGTCTGCGGAGAGCTGCGCCGGAGGCGAGGGCGAGGCACAGCAGAGGGAAGCGCGGCGCTGGAGGGGTTAAATGAGGGAGGAGGGGGGCTTCTGGCGGCGGGAGGGGGTCCCAGCACCGGCGGCCGCCCGCTCCGCCCCTGCCGCTGCCGCCGCCTCCGCGGCCCAGCCGGCAGGCACCGGCGAGGCCGTGCCGGAGCCCGGGCCGCAGCCGCAGCCGCAGCCGCAGCGGGGCAGACAGTGAGTGTGGGGCGGAGAGGGCGGGCGCGCTGGCGCGGAGAGGGAGTGCGGGGCGGCGAAGGGCGCCGGCCGGGCTCCGGGGCTGGGGCGCGCAGGGGGCGACCGGCCGGCAGAGGCGCCCACCTCCCCGTTCGTGGGCGCCTCTGGGAGTTCTGCGGCCGCGCATCCAGCCGCCGCCCGTCACGCTCCGAGGCGTCGGCGTGAAGACGCGGGGAGGCCGTGGGAGCGAGTGGCGGGGGTGCGGTGTCTGGGCAGTGGGCGCTGCGCGGTGGCCCCAAGGTCTGGGTATGTGTGTATGTGAGTGTGTGCACACAAGTGTGTGGGCCTCTGGGGGCCTTGGCCCGGCGCGCGCGGCCCTGAGCGTCCGGTGTGCCCGAGAGGCCGGGGAGTGTGCAGGTGGAGTGTGTGTGTGCGTGTAGCCCGGGCAGAGGCGCCGCCTGGAGCCGCAGGGTGGAGCGTGGGCGCGCGGGTCTTTGTGCCCGCGTGTGTGCGCGAGGGCGCCGCCCCCCTCTGTCCCGGGGGCTGACAGCTGTCCAGGGGATGCTGCACTGGTCCGGCCCTGGTCGCCCCCACCGCGCTGCTTCCCGGAACCCAGTACCCTTCCTTCCCCTCCGCCCTGCCTCGCCTCTGCGCAGCGATCCGGACCCGCCCCAGGGTTCCTCGAAAGCCCAGCGGGGCGCTGGAGGACCCTGGAGGCTCCCCTCTCGGTCCATCGCGTCTAGAAGAGGAGCGAGGAGAGTTAGGGGGGGAGGGAGAAACCGCGAAGATGCTGCTGCAGCCTCAGCGGACGAGCCGGGACCCGCCACCCCCGTCCCCGCCCTGCACAGTCCTCTGTGCCCCCTCAGCCTCCAGCTGGAAGGCGGGTTCCCCAGGCCCCCTCCACGCCCCCAGCATTTCCTCGCTCGTCCTGCCTCTCCCTCGGCAGTCTCGGCCTCTCTTTCCCCCTTCCACTCTCCTTCCCGGTGCCCTCTTATCTTCTCACACCCTGGAGTCCCTGGACAGGGGCTGAGGGCCGGGCAGTGGAGGTAAGGGGGAGGACAGAGGTGGGGGGACTGGGTGTGTCCTGGTACCAAGTGTCCGGCCAGAGGGATGTGAGGAGAAGACGTCTGTGGGTAGTAGGGCTGGGGGCTCCAAGACCATTGGGTGTGTAGGGGTTGGAGGAGGGTGTAGGGGTGTCAGGTCAGGTTATTGATCCCAGCATCCCTGGTTCTGCCCACAGTGACTGCAGCTCCCCAGGAGCCCCCTGCCCGGCCTCCCCAGACGGGCCGTGGAATTGGCCGGGCCTCTGGGCGCGCCATGCGCAGCACCACACTACTGGCACTGTTGGCTGTGGTCCTGCTCTACTTGGTGTCCGGTGCCCTGGTGTTCCAGGCCCTGGAACAGCCCCATGAGCAGCAGGCCCAAAGGGAGCTGGGGGAGGTCCGAGAGAAGTTCCTGAGGGCCCATCCATGTGTGAGCGACCAGGACCTGGGGCTCTTCATCAAGGTGCGTGGGTGGGGGAGAGCTCCTTCAGCAGTCACCCGTGACCCCCTGACACTAGCTGCATGCCACTGGGACCCTGTGCTGGAGAGCTGCTTCCAGACCCGCACCCCTGAAGGCAGGGTGCCGCTGGGGGGTGCAGGGCAGAGGCTGGGATCCAGGTCTCTGTGTTTTCAATATGGCGGCCAGGGCGGCATTTGTTTTCCTTGCTGTGCCTGGCATTGGGTTATCTTCCTAAAATGGCTCCTTCCGTGTGTGATAGTGGTTGAATGAAGGAACGCATGAAGGAAGAAATGAATACATGGCTGTAGCAGATGAGATATGTTACATTTTCTCAGGTCTAACTCACTGGTTTAGGGTTGCCAGATGAAGTCTGGAACACTCAGTTAAATGTAAATTTCAGCTAAAGAATGAATACTTTTAAAATATAAATATGTCCCGTGCAGTATTTTTATTTGCTAAATCTGGCAACCCTACACTAGTTCCTATGCTTCTTTGAAGTCACAGATGCCTCAGAGAAACCCAAGAACACTGTGAACACTTCCCCACCCGCTACCTCCAGAAAAGTGCACATATAAACATGTACTGATGATTTCGGAGGATTTCAGGATCCCCCAAGCTGGTCCATGCCATCATGGATGCCAGGTTGAGCACACCTTCCCACCAGGACACCTGCTTATGATGCGGAGGCTAGAGGGAGGGCGAGTCAGGGATGGGTCAACTTTGGACCAATGACTAAAGAAAGTGTGGGTTGCAGCCTTCTGGGCTACTGTCAGGCAAGCACCTCTGCTGCACTGTCTCTGATTTCTGAGCCACTGTCATATTAAAAAAAAATAAAGTAACATTTAACTTTAATACATTCATGTTTATTATTTTATTGAAAGGCACCACTATTTCCTGCCCCTTCTTTTGGAGGGAGGAGCCATCAACATGGAGCCTCGGTGTTCCAGCTGATTTCCAAGGTGGCAGGACCTGGAGCAGAGATGAGGATGGGGTGGGTCCAGGACACAGGCAGCTTGACATTGTCTCTGACACCTCCAGGATGCCCAGCAAAGCTCCGAGAGGCCTGGGTAGGAGAGGGCCTGGCCAGACCACAGGGCAGGAGGAGGGAGGGAATCTGACCTATTTTATCTTCACAAAGGAATTCCTTTTTTCCTGGATTAAAAAAAAAAAAAAAAAAAGACGACGAAGAAGAAGAAGAAGAAGAAGAAAAGGAAGGGCAGAACCAAGCAAGGAGGGCAACAGCTGCTTTATTTCTCTTCCATAAATAGTCATGCAGCAATTATGCACCTACTGTGTGCTAGGTGCTGTGCTGTACACCATAGGGTGAGCAGGGAAATTGATATTGGGGTGGAACAGATGCAGGCTCTACCCTAGAGGATGTTACATCTAGGTGAAGGGACAAATCCATGGAAAGTTCACTGTAGGATTTAGTAGAAAAGGAGCTTTCATTACTTCCTTCTTTGTTAAATGCCTGTTGTGTGCTGGGCCCTGGGCTAGGTGCTGGGGGCAAGGAGGGAGATGCCAGGGGCCTTTGGGAAGAGCTGGTAATTGAAATGAAGCAGGTGAGATGGGTAGAATTTAGGGATGTGTGATTGGGTTGAAAGAGACTCCCAGGCAGAGGAACAGCATGGGCAAAGGCGTGGAGGCTGGAAAGCTCAGAGTGTTTTGCAGTTCTTGGATTTAACAGATGCCTAGTCATTTGAAGCAAAAATTAGAACACACAGAATGACAAAGGATTTTTTTCCCCTAAGTAGTGAATTTATTGGAAAAGTGTTGCAGAATAAAATTAAACCACTTTTAATCATACCTTTCACTTCTTGGCTGTATTAAACAATTATTTCAGGAAATGGAATCATCTCAGAAAATCGGGGGAAAAGGTCACTGTAACTTGAATTCCAAAATGGGGGTCCCAGGAGTGAAGACTGGGGAAAGGGAGGGTGGGACCGGACTGAGAAGGGGCTTACAGGCTGGGCTGGGGAGTTTGGACTCTACTCTGCAGATAGCAGGGAACAACGGAGATTCTGGGCCGTCACTTTAGGAAGATTAATTTGGAATGTGTCTTGCTAATGAGGTCTTGCAGTCAGAGAGAAAGAAGGTGGTTTCTGACCTCCCTCACACCACTTGTGTCTTAGCTCTGTGCTCCTTGGGGAAGGGCCCCTCTGCACCCCCTCCTCTATATGCTCTGACCTCCATCACTTAGGGCAGGCACTCTCAAAACACAGACTCCGCCTCCGAGGGAGAGGCAGACTGGTTGGCAAGAGGGGCAGACACATGGCCATTTCATTAATTTAATCATGTTTATTGATCACCTACTATGTAGCACAGGGTTTGGTTTGGACTTCAGCAGGGTGGGCAGGGGTTTGTGTATCCATGACCCTCCTAAAACTGGATGCAAAATTTATTGGTATGTGAACCTTCCTGGAGGGAGGGTCCCTAACTTTCATCAGATTTTCGAAGGCAAGGGACTCAAACTCAGCTTCCAAAGGGGCGGTGGGACTGGTGGGGTCTGTGGAAAGCTGGAACTCACTGGGCATGATCTCTACATGGGGACTAATTTCACAAACACACAGTGCTTGCTTTGATGTGAGTGCTTTAACTTTTCACAATAACTCTACGAGGTAGGTACTATTATCACCATCCCCAAATGATAGATGCAGAAATTGATGCTCAACTTCACCTAGCACCAAGATTTGAACCCAGGCAGTCTGGTCCCAGAGTCTGTGCTCCTGACCACTGTAAAACTGGAAATCTGTTATATGAAATTAAGGGGCCGATAATTCAAATGTCTCTAAAACAATGTGTTGGTCAAACAAAATTGGGCTCTCCAGTTTGCAATGTCTGCTGTAAGGGATTGCCTTCAGGGAGACCAGAGGGCAGGGGAGAGGTGGGAGGGGTAAGGAGGGAAACACCTTGGAGACTGGATGGCCAGGGGGTTGGCTAGGACGGGAGGGAAGGACTGAGGTTCCTCCTTCTGCATCTTGTCCTGCAGGAGGTGGCTGATGCCCTGGGAGGGGGTGCAAACCCTGACACCAACTCAACCAGGAACAGCAACCACTCAGCCTGGGACCTGGGCAGCGCCTTCTTTTTCTCAGGCACCATCATCACCACCATCGGTGGGGGAGGGGACTGGTCATGGGAGGGGGCACGGGGTGGCTGGGCTTTCTCACAGGCGAAGGCGCAGGGGGAGGTAGGGGGTGCCAGGCAACCCCTAGAGCTGCTGCACGACCCCTCTGCCCAGGCTATGGCAACGCGGCCCTGCGCACAGATGCTGGCCGCCTCTTCTGCATCTTTTATGCACTGGTGGGGATCCCGCTGTTCGGGATACTGCTGGCAGGGGTCGGGGACCGGCTGGGCTCCTCCCTACGCCGCGGCATTGGTCACATCGAAGCCATCTTCCTGGTGAGCTGCTCCACACCCTGCGCGCCCTTGCGTTGGGGTCGGGATACACTTCCCTACATACCCACCCGGCACGTGAGCGGGGGGGCGCCTGAATCGCGCGAACCTCGGACACGGGCTCCCAGAAGAGGGTTGTGGGGTGTGAGAGTTGGAGGTTTTGGTGACTCCTCGGCCCTGCCTACTGCCCTCCCTGCAGAAGTGGCAGGTGCCACCAGAACTGGTGCGAATTCTATCGGCGGTGCTCTTTCTGCTGATCGGCTGCCTGCTCTTCGTTCTCACGCCCACGTTCGTTTTCTGCTATGTGGAGGGCTGGAGCAAGCTGGAGGCCATCTACTTCGTCGTGGTGACGCTCACCACGGTGGGCTTCGGGGACTATGTGGCCGGTGAGGCCACTTTCTTGGGTTGCACTTCCCTACCCATTTTATTCCTGCCCAGGGGCTCTGCAATCTTGCCTCTCCCTCCAGGTTCCACAGGGCGCTTGTGCGCTCACACGTGCTTGCTCCAATCCCTACATCCACTCACTGAATGCACCCTCACATTTTTCCAGGGATGCACCAACACCTCATGCCCACTTACACCCCACGCGTGCTCACACATATTAAGTGACCCCTTCACACGTGCCACATTCTTGTACACGTGCACCCCTCACACATACTCACATTCTTGCACGTGAGCACCCCACTTACTCTTCTCTTGCACACCTTCAAGTCACTCCCACTCATCTTCTTGCATCCATTCGCGCACTCTAGCTCACACCCACTGTCCTGGGGAGGGCGGATCCTCTCAACGAGTTGGGAAGAGGGGCAGTGAACCAGAGACTCACAGGCTCAAGGCGTGTCTCACAATCAACTTCTTTCTGCCCTCCCCGTGGCGTCCCAGGAGCCAGCCCCAACCAGAACTCTGCAGCCTACCAGCCGCTGGTGTGGTTCTGGATCCTACTCGGCCTGGCCTACTTCGCTTCGGTGCTCACCACCATCGGGAACTGGCTGCGAGTAGTGTCCCGCCGCACTCGGGCAGAGGTAGGCGCCCCTGCGTCGACACCGCGCCTGCGCCCTGGCGCTGCTGCGCTGCTCACCAGCAGCAGGTTGACTAGTCTGCCTCCCTTCCAGAGTGTGGGCTCCCCAAGGCAGGGACTGAGGGAGCCCCAGTGCGCACCGGCCGGGAACAAAGCGATAAACTCTGACAGGTTTGCAGGTGACTCCATCTCTACTCTCATGGATAAGGTTACCAGATTTAGCAAATAAAGATAAAGGAAGCCCGGTTGATGTGAATTTTGGATAAGTTGCAAATAATATTTGAGTATAAATGTCCCAAATATTGCATGGGACATACTTACACTAAAATTTTATTTGTTGTTGTATTTTTATTTATTGTTCTAAATATTTTGTAGCCCCACTCCTTGCTCCCGGCCGTGGAGAGGGGGTAGGCGCAAAGGTCTCTGGGGGCACGGGAGGGAGAGCTGAAATAAAGTCCGGTCGGTCCTTTCTTCTGGAGAAAAGGGCACTTCCGCGCAGATGGAGGAGGGGAGAGCATGTGGCTGGGTGATGAGCTTTTCCCTCCTCCGGCCTTTTCCCACTCCTGAGGCAGGAAGACGAGGCGGAAAAGAGGGGCAATGCCTGACTGGTGAAGGGGCAGGCTCCCGGGGTTGCGGAGACGGTCGAGGAGCCCCGGTCGAGGACTGCCTTTCCTCCCCGCGCAGATGGGCGGCCTCACGGCGCAGGCTGCCAGCTGGACCGGCACGGTGACCGCGCGGGTGACCCAGCGAGTCGGGCCCACGGCACCACCGCCGCCGGAGAAGGAGCGGCCACCCCTGCTTCCGCCGCCGTGCCCAGCGCAGCCCGCCAGCAGACCCCTATCCCCTGCGGCCCCGGAGAAGACCGAGCCACCCTCTCCGCCCACGCCGCCCACCCCGCCCACGGCCTCCGCGCTGGACTACCCCAGCGAGAATCTGGCCTTCATCGACGAGTCCTCGGACACGCAGAGCGAGCGCGGCTGCGCACTGCCCCGCGCTCCACGGGGCAGCCGCCGCCCCCTCAACACCCCCAGGAAGCCCGCGCGGCCCCGCGGCCCGGGGCGCCCCCGGGACAAAGGCGTGCCCGCGTAGGGGCAAGACCCCTGCCCGGGCCTCTCCAAGGGCTCCGTTCTTGCTCTCTCCCCGGCATGCTCTGCTTGTTTAACCAAAGAGCCCTCTCTCGACCGACCCGGCTGAAACCTGGGGAGGAGGCTACGGCTTGCTTGTCTGCCACTCTCTGCTCCTGGCCCCCTCCTCACTTCATCCATTTCCAGAACCCCAAGGCTTTCTGTCTCGTTGTCCGTCTGGGCCTGTCCCTCACAACATCTCACGACTGTGCCTCAAAGCCTGCATCAATAAACGAAAACAGTCTGCATCGCTGCGGGCGTGGAGCTCCGGGGACGCGAGAGGGTGTGCGAGTGCTTGCGTCGTCGGGCCACCTCCGGGGCAAGTCAGGCCCCCCCCCAACGACCCCCAGGCCGAACCCTCCCCCCCCCCACCCGAACCATCGGTCAAGGCGTGGCACTCTTGTCTGTGCTTGGACCGGTGTCTCTGCCTGGAGGTTAAGTATAGGGTCTGGCGTGGGAATCTGCCAAGATGGGCGGTGCGTCCATCCTCGGTACAGCTATGGGGGCAGGGATGGGGAGACATAATGGCATCTAGTGTGGAGGGCTGTAGCTTGAACCTTCCCCGCGCGAGACCCCCATCGCCATTCTGTACGGGACCCTGCCCCTCCCCCTTCCTGGAGCGTGACCCCCTCCGCCTCGCCCCGAGGCCTTTGGCGACTGGGTCCGTTAGGGCAGAGCCATGGAGGAAAAGCCTTTCAAAGTAAGAACTCTTCCTGGTCCTCCTCACCCTGTCAGCCCCCAGACTCATCCTAGGTCCACCCTGGGCCCCTCCCTGGCTATCCTCTCACTCAGCCCTGGCTCAGGGCAGCTCCCAACCATCACCCCCTCCCCATCCCCACCCCGGCAACTGAGTCTCGGCCCTGGATGGGCTCAGGATCCCCTCCCCCCAGCCTGCTCTTCCTTTCCTCCCCAATTCCCCACGACCCTTGGCTTCCCTCGGTGTATGTGGCCCACAGGCGTTGGCCAAGTCTTCGGGCCACCGTGGCTCAGGCAAGTCGAGCCCGCACGACATTCGGAATCTGTGCACCACGGCCACGCAGTCGCAGCCGAAGCTGAATGTACCGCTGCCTACTGTCCGTGAGGACTCGGAACTGGAGGGCAGCAGCGTAGGCAGCAAGACTTGCTGGTCTTACAACCAGAAGGCTGGCCACGACTCGGACGGTGGCTGGGAAGAATCGGATGACGGAGAGGACAAGGACAGCTTCAAGCCAGAGGAGCTGGACGAGCACGCCTTGATGGAGCTGGAGATGCGCCGCGGCAGCTCCCTGGGAGGCCCTTTAGAGGAGGACGATTCCAAGACCGACGACGGTCAGTGTGGCTTCAATGGGCTGTAGGCGCCCACAGGGCAGGGGGATGGCCAGGGCCTCAGTTTCTATTGCTGTAAAATGGGGGAAAACTGTGGGACCCAAGTTTCTAGGATTCCCTGGAAGGGGCGCCAACGCTAATCTTCCACGCTTTAAATCAACCAGACCTTCTAGGAATGCCCCCTACCGGGCAGGCGTCGTACAAACTCCTGGGGTCATAGAGACGAGCAGGAAAATGCGCAAAGGCAGCGCGGTAGGACCTGTGTTTTTAACGGAATCACCCGGATAGTTGAAAGGAGGGAGTTAATGCCTTTTCTGTGGATTTGCGCTGCTTGAGGAGGTGCCTGTCTTTCATTCATTAAGTCATTGGTTACAATTTTTAAGTATTTACTTCCTACTTTGCGCTGTGCGCTGATTGGGACATGCCTCCCTTTCTCCTCACCACCTCTGCTCTCCAGCCCTTCATCAGGGAATTGGAACATATAACAATATAACAACTGCCATTTGTTGAGCACTTGCTGTTGTGCCAGGCACTGGGCTTCCCTTGCATGATCGCCTTTAAACTTCACAACCTCCATATGGCGCCATTCTTATTATCCCATTGTACAGATGAAGAACTTGAGGGTCAGAAAGTCAGTCACTGGCCTTAAGTCTCACAAAGTGGGGCAGTCATAACTGGAACCTCGGAGGGTGGGACAACAAAGCCCAGGCTTTAAACCAGTGTCCCATCCTGTTTCCCACTAAAGTGGCACCTGGAGCTGGTCTCTGAAGGCCCCCCACCCCCACCCCGGCCAACATGCCTACCCATACATCCCCTCTGCTCCGGGGAAGTCTCAGCAGTCTGCAGATGACTGATCCCTTTTTTCTCTTCTCCCAGAAAAGTCTTCTTCAGTGTCATCGCTCAATATCTCGAAGCACACACCCCATCGAGCCTACTGGGTGGAGCAGCAGAGCAGGGTTGGAGGCACCCAAGGAGACTGGGGAGTTTAGTGGGGGGTGGGGGATGGGCAAGTTGGGGGTTTCAGGGGTGAGAGGGTGGGGGGGCTTTGCAGGGTGGAGGGGCAGTCAGGTCGGTTGAGGGTCTTGGGCCTGGAGGGGGCAGGTGGGGCATTTCAGCTGTGGGCAGAGCTGGGGTCCCTTGTACATCTGAGTCTCTTGCTGCCTCTCCAGCTGCCCCTGCCCCTGACTGAACTCATGGAGAATGAAGCCCTGGAAATCCTCACCAAAGCCCTCCGGAGTGAGCCTCCCCACTCCCCATCCCCCCAGCTCCCACAAGAGACTTGGGGGATTTGGTAGGGCTTCGGCCTGTGGGAGTGGGGTTTCAGGATGTGTCTGCCCTGTCAGATTCCCTTACCACCCACAAATATTCCAGAAGCCCCATGAAAAGTAAAACGTTAGGAGACTGGGCACAGGGAGACCCAATGGGGACAGCATGGGGTGACCGTCAAGGGCCTGGGCTCTAGCCTCAGTGCAGCCCCTCTCAACCTGATGTAGGTTTTCTAAGGCTATTTCTTCACTTGCCCATTGGGGATGACAGCCTTTCTGTGGCCTTGGCCCCTCCCTGGTTGCTGTGAGGAGCCTTTGGACAGTGGATTATTTGAGTAAACTTCCTTTGATTTGCCCTGCTTAGTTTATGAATGTGGGGGTGGGGTGGGGAGGGCTAATGGCTGAGACTGGGTGGTCGAAGCGGTGTCCCAAAAGCTGCCTGCTCCCAGTGCCCTAATTCAGGCCGGCAACATCTTCTCTAAACTTGCCTTCCTCATCCATCCTCCACTCCAACACCCCCATCCTACTCTGAATCCCCCATCTGTTTGGAGCACAGGTCTATGACTTGACCATTCGAAACAAACAAAACAGGCAGGTCCCAGTACCCTGGCGATCCAAAGTTCCCCAAAGAACAAAGACCAGCTCCTGGGGGAGGCCATGCCCCTGCTCACTGCCCTGAGTTGGGTTCTGCCCTCCAGGTTACCGATCGGAGATCGGCCGGGACCACTTCCTGACCAAGCAGCTGCAGCGATACATCGAGGGGCTCAAGAGGCGCCGGAACAAGAGGCTGCAAGTCATGGTGATCTGAGAGCACCGCCTCGGGCTCGAGTGACCGCCCGACTCCAGCCCTGGTCCCAGATCCAAGCCCGACCCTGTCCATGTGGATTTTGAGCCTTAGAGAAATAAAAGAGTCTTCTGTACATGGTCCGTGAGTCAATGCGTAGCTGCCCGCGTGAGGCGGACGCACGTGGCCCCGCCTTTCCCTGTGACCTTCACTCGGTCACCGCAGTGACCTTGAGCGTTCTCGGTTCGGGCCCTATCGGCTCCGCCTTCCCGGGACTCGAAATCCAGGACTTCTTGCATGCATTAGGTCTGCTTCTCCCACTCCGGGTTCAGCAGCTTTGTGGGGATATTGGGTGAGACGTCCAAGTGCCCCGATTGTGTTATCCTGGGGGAAGGCGGAAAAGGGAAAGGGACCGCACCTCCTATCTAATTTGGGCGTGCTAGGCTCCGCCCCTCATGCATATGCAGACACCCTATCCCCCCCCCGCGCGCTGGTCCCGCCCTCTCATCTACATATGTATATCATCTCCCGGACCCTCAGAGGCGGCCGCTGAACTACCTCTCCCATTTCCCTTGCGCACAGAGCACCCCGCCTCCTTCTTTACGTAAGAACGCTCCTGGCCCCACCCCCTCCCGTAGCCTCTCCGCGTCTCCTCTGGCCACGCCCTCTCAGCGGCCGCATACGCAAGCAAGTACGCCGCTGCGGCTCGGCGGCGGCTGGGCGAGGCCTTCATGAAGGCCGGCCCGCTGGCTTCGCCGGCTCCGCCCTGACACGTCCCGGAGCGCAGGCGCTGCTCGGCCCACTTGCCTGATTAGCATAGGGCGCTGGGCCACGCCCCCTGCTTTGCATGCGCAGGCCAGCCCCGCCCCCGCTGTCAGCTGGAGGAAGCGGAGTAGGAAGCGGCCGCGATGTCCTTTTGTGTCCTACAAGCCGCCGGCGGCGCCGCCGAGTGAGGGGACGCGGCGCGGCGGGGCGGCGCGGCCCGAGGAGGCGGCGGAGGAGGGGCCGCGCGCGGCCCCAGGCTCACCCCGGCGCTCCGGGCCGCTCGGCCCCCATGCCTGCCCGCCCGCCCTGCCGGGGCCCCAGGTCCGGGGGCGGAGGGGAGCGCCGCTGGAGGGTGGGCGGGCGGTGCGCCGGGGCCATGTGCGAGCGGGGCAGGGAGGCGGGCGGGGGGCGGGCTCCAGGCGGGGTCCGGCCTGGGTCACGGTCGGGACCCGGTCGAAAGCCAGACAGGGTCAGGGTCTGGGCGGGATATGGCGTCCAGGTCTTAGGGCGCCGGCCTGAGACCAGAATCGGGCTTGGGCTTCGGATCTAGTCCCAGGGCAGGGTTCAGTCCGGCACCTGGAGCATGCCGAAGTCCCAGGGGAGGGCCGGGCTGGAAGATGGGAAGGGTTTTCTGTCGGGGAAGGGGCTTTGAAGACCACGTGGGGGCGCTCGAAGGGGCCTAGGGCCACCCTCCTCTCTGGGTCAAAGGTCATCGCACTGGCAGGGGAGAACTTCCTCCTCCTTGGCGCTCCCCCATTACTTCCTGATAACCTGATAGAGGTCCCCCGCGGGCGGAGGGGGAGGGGAGGCGCAGCAACTTTAGGCAACTTCCCGTAGGTGTGCGCAGGTTGGGGGGGGCGGGGCGCCCCGTGGTGGAGGACTCTGCGGCAGCAGGAGTGTAAGAGCGAATGTGCTGGAGGGGGTGCAAGGAGGTGGAGCCACGCCCGCTGGTGTGCTTGGGGCTGGAGGTGGCGATGTGTCAGGTGTGAGAGGCTCTGAATGTGTTTCCACGAGGGACTATGCCTGTGTGTGTGTGTGTGTGTGTGTGTGTGTGTGTGTGTGTGTGTGAGTGTGGGGGCATGGTGAGAGTGTAAGAGTGTGTGAGCCAGAGTGTGATTATGAGCCTTGGGTGTGACTGTTATGGGGTGTGCACTTCAGGAGGAGTGTGCGAAGGCAAACGGGAGCATGAGTGAGTGCTGGGGTTTGGGAAAGGACATGTGTGAGCGTGAAACTGCCCAGGAGAGTGATTGTGTGTGAGCGTGTGTGTGCAGGTGAGGACACCTGAGGACCCAGGTGAGTGGGAGTGTGAGGGTGTAAACACACGCACGCGTGTGTGAGCACATCAACTACCCTTGGGTTTGTGTGCCTCAGTTTAGTTTCTCTCTTGAATGGAGGATACCCAGGTGTGGGGGAGATCACTGAGCTCTCTAACATCTGGAGAAAATTTGAGAGGTATCTCACTCCTGGCTGGGGATTCCAGACGGGGTTGAAGGTTGCTTGGACACTTAGGTTACCCTATTCCTTGGCCTGGGTGGGAGTAGGGGGTTTCCAAGCCTTCTGCAGTTTCCCAAGTGGGAGACCGGCTGTCAGTTACTGGCTCTGGAGACTCTGTTTCCATGGCAACAGTCGCGGGCGGGGGGGGGGGGGGCTCTTCATGGGCAGCCTTCCTTGGACTCTGTCCCCCCCACCCTCTTGCTGAGCCTGGAAGCCTGGCCCCAGGCCTGGGGTTGGGCAACCAGGGTGACAGGGTGTCTCCATCCCCCATCCCAGGGCCTCCCTGTGACCTGACGGGTCTCTTCCCGCAGGTGACCAGCGCCATGTCCAGCCAGGTGGTGGGCATTGAGCCTCTCTACATCAAGGCAGAGCCAGCCAGTCCTGACAGCCCAAAGGGTTCCTCGGAGACTGAGACTGAGCCCCCCGTGGCCCTGGCCCCTGGCCCAGCTCCCACCCGCTGCCTCCCAGGCCACAAGGAGGAGGAGGATGGGGAGGGGGCTGGGCCTGGCGAGCAGGGTGGTGGGAAGCTGGTGCTCAGCTCCCTGCCCAAACGCCTCTGCCTGGTCTGTGGGGACGTGGCCTCCGGCTACCACTATGGTGTGGCATCCTGTGAGGCCTGCAAAGCCTTCTTCAAGAGGACCATCCAGGGTGAGCCCCCACCCCGCTCCTGTGCCCTTTGCCCTCTGGGCCTGGCGCTCCCCAGTTGGTGCACTGCTGGGTGGCAGTAGGCCCCCAGGCTGCCGTGGTACCACTTGGGGTTGGCAGCCTGGAGTTCCCAGGCCCTCCTACCTCCCAGGAACGTCCTTTCCCTTAAACGTTAAATAAAGCCACCAGGATGTGTTGATGGATTGGATGCGGGGTGTGAGAGTGGGACTCAAGATGCCTCCTAAGTTTCTGGGTACTCTAGGCCCAGCACCTTCCACAGCGGCTCTGACGAATTCAAAGCAGCCTCTGCTTGCTCCTAAACTTTACTCTTGCTTCCAGCAGCTGCTGGCCTCTCACCAGCAGAGAACATGCCCCCTTTTGTGCTGATTTCCCCAAAGCAGCATGAGCACAAGGCAGGTTTTTACGGGTAACTGAGAGTGGCTACGTCGTACTTCAGCACCTAACTTTAAAAAGACTATTAGGCATCCCTGCCAGTAGTACTCACTGAATTTTTCTCACTCAGGAGAGCATATCAAAATACGAGTGAGCAAGATGGTGATGTAATAAGCATTATTTGGGATGTGCCCTTTACTTATATTTTTATATAAACCATTGGTTACTTGGGGGTTATAACATGTAGCCTTTCTGAGAACATTTCTTGAGTGCCAGGCACTGTGTCCTGTTACGTTTATGCTCTCAGTTACCCACACAGCAATCTCTAAGGTGCCAGCACTATTATAACTGAAGCCCAGAGAGGTTTTCAAAACTTTGTTCAGGTCCCACAGGTAGAAAAATGGCAGAAACAAGATATGAACTTGGGTCGATTGAGGTCCGGAGCTAAGCTCGTAAAGGCCAGACTCTGCTTATTACTAATTGAACTTTGGACAGATGCCTCACGACTGATTGTGACATTCTAGCAAGTTTTGACTTGGCTGAGACCCGCTGGTCTAAAAGCTCCGTGCTCCCTTCTGGCCCTGAAGACCTGAGCCAACAGGTCCAGGTCCGGGTCCAGGTGTCTCCTACCCACCCTGGAATGCTTCGTTCTCTGTTGACAAATATTTATCGAGCACTAGCCATAAATAGTGATCATTTATTGAGCATTTAGGTGCTGTGAGCCGTGTTAAATGTCTTACCTTGATCTTCCCATTTAGTTCTCACAACTAACCTTTGTAAGAAGTAGTTTTTTTATAAAGTTTTATATTTATTTATTTATTTAATTTATTTATTTTTGGCTGCACTGGGTCTTCGTTGCTGCATCCGGGCTTTCTCTAGTTGCAGCGAGCGGGGACTACTCTTCATTGCGGTGGCTTCTCTTGTTGCGAAGCACGGGCTCTAGGCGCGCAGGCTTCGGCGTTTGTGGCGTGTGAGCTCAGTAGTTGTGGCTCGTGGGCTCTAGAGCCCAGGCTCAGTATTTGTGGCGCACGGGCTTAGCTGCTCCGCTGCGTGTGGGATCTTCCTGGACCAGGGCTTGAACCCGTGTTCCCTGCATTGGCAGGCAGATTCTTAACCACTGCACCACCGGGGAAGCCCAGAAGTAGTTTTTAATCATCCCAGTTTTACAGATGGGAAAACTGAGGGTTCGAGGGCTTAGGTGTGGGACTTGCGCAAGGTCACACCATTGGTAAGTGGCAGCCTCCAGGATCCTTGCTCTTCACAAACTTGTGCTCTGCTGTCCTGGCCACTGTTCCCGGTGTGGGGGCATAGCTGGGACTAAGGCAGGATCGCTCCTGTCCTCAAGCAGTTTACATTCCAGCAGAGGGGAGAGAGAGAGAAAACAGTGAACTGCACACAGTTGTTACAGTACAGCTGCGGTGACTGCTGGAGGGCGAGGAGCAGGGTGTGTGCCAGGGAACCTGGCTGGGTCTGGGACTCTGGAGTGCCTCCCTGAAGAGGTGTCTTGAGCTGAAGAAGCCCAGGTAGGGTGTAGGAGGAAGCAGGCTGTGAGGAGAAATGCACCACTGGACCGCTTAGGGAACTCCCTCTCTTAGGTTTAATAGGATGTCTCTGTGTTGACAGTAACCTAAGGAGGCAAAGACAGAGCAGGAGGGGAGGTGACAGTGACTCTGGTCAAGGGTAGAAACAGTTGCCAGGGGCAGAAGAGGGGCGCTTCTGGACATAGTAGGAGGTGAAGCCCACCAGGATCTGTCAGTGGGTTGGGTTTGGGGTGTGAGAGAGGAATTAAAAATGTCTCCTAGATTTCTGCTTGAGCAGCTGGACAAATGGGGTTGCAGGTTTTGGAGGGGTAGGTTGGGGGCTCCATCTAGAACTGCATAAGTTTGTAGTGTCTTCCAGGCGCGCAGGAGGAGGCAGTGGGATACGTCTAGAGTTCAGGCTGGTCTAGGCCAGAGACGGAGATTTGAAAGCCCATGACTTGGTGAGCTCACCATTTGAGTGAGTCAGTGGAGACAGGTCGGAGGGGTCTTCAATGGAAGGAGCGTGGGCCGATGCACAGAAACCACAAGGTGGCAATGAGGTGGGAGGAAAGCCGGGAGTGTGGTTTCCTAGAAGCAAAAGAAGAAAAGTGTTTCTAGGAGGGATCAATGGCATTAGATGCTCCATTGGGCCAAATGACATAAGGATGAGAATTGACCGCTTGATGTAGCAATGTGGAGGCCACTGTGGCCCTTGATGAGAGCAGCACAGCCCAGAAACGTGACTTGACAAGAAGCTTGGGCCAGGTGCAGCCCGACTCCTCTGGTCCCAGCCCCTCCCTTGCCCAGGCCGGGGCCCCTAGCCCAGTGGCCTGTCCCTTCAGTGCTCGGGCTTCCCTGCCCCATTCACAGCACTCCTGCTCTCCCCAGACCTGTGCTTACCTGGGGTGAGTCAGGGGACTCCTGTCCGCTGGGCCTCCTCTGGGCCCTGGGAGGCCGCCACTGGAGCCCTGCCTCTTCCTGGCAGGGAGCATCGAGTACAGCTGTCCAGCCTCCAACGAGTGCGAGATCACCAAGCGGAGACGCAAGGCCTGCCAGGCCTGTCGCTTCACCAAGTGCCTGCGGGTGGGCATGCTCAAGGAGGGTGAGCGCTGGCGGGGGCCTGGGCAAGGCGTGGGGGCTGGGCGCAGGGGGTTGGGCTGGGCAAGGCCTGGGAAGTTCCTGGCGGACTGGGCTGGGCAGGTGGGCTCTGGAGAGCAGGCCAGCCCCAGCCCCGTGGACACAGCCCTGTCCTACAATTCAAGGGGTACGTCTGGACCGTGTCCGGGGTGGGCGACAGAAGTACAAGCGGCGGCCAGAGGTGGACCCGCTGCCCTTCCCAGGCCCCTTCCCTGCTGGACCTCTGGCAGTAGGTGGAGGCCCTCGGAAGACAGGTGAGAGCACAGTGGGGTCTTTGGGGGCTCTGGGGTTGGGGTGGAGCTCGGACATGGGAGACCTGTCTGACGTCATTCACCCGGGATAGTAGTTATCTTGGGCACTGGGACCCAAATCTTCCCTTCATCTATTCGTTTACTCATTTCCCCCAAGAAGTATTTACGAAAATATCCTTTTCTATGTCAGGCCTCGAGCAGTACAGCTGGGAGCAGGGAGTTTTCTGACACTCAGAACCTGTCCACAAACAGACGCTTTCCCTGGGAGATAGTGTAGCCCTTCCCGGAGAGAGGTGTCAGCCTGGCTGGCCAGTGGCTATTGAGGAAGGCCACGGGGGGACTGACTCTGGGAAGATGCTTGACCCTGAAGTGCTGGCAAGGTGATGAATTTGAGTGCCACTTTCAACTGTCGCTGCAGCCCCGGTGAATGCACTGGTGTCCCACCTCCTGGTGGTTGAGCCTGAGAAGCTGTATGCCATGCCCGACCCAGCGGGCCCTGATGGACACCTCCCAGCCGTGGCTACCCTCTGTGACCTCTTTGACCGAGAGATCGTGGTCACCATCAGCTGGGCCAAGAGCATCCCAGGTAGAGGGCCCGGGCGATGTGGGGCTTCCCGGGGTGGGCGGGGCCATGCCTGCTCTGGTGCCTTGCTCAGCCAGCTCTGCCCCCCACTGCCCTCCAGGTTTCTCGTCACTGTCGCTGTCTGACCAGATGTCAGTTCTGCAGAGCGTGTGGATGGAGGTCCTGGTGTTGGGTGTGGCCCAGCGGTCGCTTCCACTGCAGGATGAGCTGGCCTTCGCCGAGGACCTGGTCCTGGATGAAGAGGGGGCTCGAGCAGCTGGCCTGGGGGAGCTGGGGGCTGCCCTGTTGCAGCTGGTGCGGCGACTGCAGGCCCTGCGGCTGGAACGCGAGGAATACGTTCTGCTGAAGGCCCTGGCCCTCGCCAATTCAGGTGAGTCTGGGGCAAGTACTGACAGGTCTCTTTGTAAGGCCCTCTGGTTTTTAACTCTGATGGTGGCACAGTCCCATTTTGCAGACAAGGAAAACTGTAGCTTAGGTGAAGAAAGAACAGTGACTTCCTGAAAGTCACAAAGCCGGGCAAGGACAGGTCCAGGGACTGCATGCAGGATTTTGAACCCTGGTGTCCATACTTTTGTGGAAAGGTGAACCATTTAGCGAGAGAGAAGGTGATGGGGACAGGAGGTGGCCATGGCCGGGGGAGAAGGGGCGGGCCTTGGCTGATGGGCGGAGCAGTGGGTGGTGCTTCAGCAAATCCTTGTCTGGCTCCTGGTTGGGACCCATCCAGCGGTGCCCAGGCAGATGTGGTTCTGCTCTTTCTGGAGACAGCCCACGTCAACAGCTCTCTCACCTTTCCTTGCAGACTCTGTGCACATTGAAGATGCTGAGGCTGTGGAGCAGCTTCGAGAAGCTCTACACGAGGCCCTGCTGGAGTATGAAGCTGGCCGGGCAGGCCCCGGAGGGGGTGCTGAGCGGAGGCGGGCAGGCAGGCTGCTGCTTACACTACCGCTCCTTCGCCAGACGGCAGGCAAAGTGCTGGCCCATTTCTATGGGGTGAAGCTGGAGGGCAAGGTGCCCATGCACAAGCTGTTCCTGGAGATGCTTGAGGCCATGATGGACTGAGGCGAGGGCTGGGCACAGGTGGGGGTGCTGGCAGGACCCGCCCAGCACGGGGTCAGCCCCAAGGGGGCAGAGCTGGGGTCTGGGCAGTGCCGCAGCCTGCTGGCAGGGCCAGGGCAACACCATCAGCCGGAGCAGGCCCTATGCCCTCCCCTCCCCCCAGGGGGTGTCAGAAGCTGGGAACGTGCATGCCCAGGCTCTGGGCACAGTGCTGCCCCTCGCAAGCCATAACGTGCCCCCAGGGTGTAGGGGGCCTTGCGGAAGCCATAGGGGGCTGTAGGGGACGTGTGTGTGTGTGTGTGTGTGTGTGTGCGTGTGCGTGTGTGTGTGTATGTGGGGTGGGGGGGGGCAGAAGCCTGATCTCAGGGAGGGAAGGGAGTGGAGGCCACAGGCTCCCAGTGGGTGATGCTTTTGCTGCTGCTTAGTCCGACTCCCTCTCCAGAACAGAGAGGGATTTGGAGAGCAAAGGCCCCTGCTCCCTTCGCTCCTTTCCTCATCATTTGCATTGGGCATTACTGCCCCCCCCCCTTGAAGCAATAACTCCAAGCAGGCTCCAGCCCCTGGGCCCCTGGGGTGGCCAGGGCGCCCACATCAGCTCCCACCCAGCCTCCTCACGGGGTAGGGAGAGCACTGTCTCTATGCCCTGCAGAGCAATAACACTATATTTATTTTTGGGTTTGGCCAGGGAGGCGCAGGGACATGGGGCAAGCCAGGGCCCAGAGCCCTTGGCTGTACAGAGACTCTATTTTAATGTATATTTGCTGCAAAGAAAAACCGCTTTTGGTTTTGAACCTTTAATGAGAAAAAAAATATAATACCGAGCTCAAGAACACCGTGTGTTTGGTGTGTCACTGGACCAAGGGTTGGGGATACACAGGATAGAAGTAGCAAACAGGATATACGTAAACAAAGATACACGCGCTCACAAAATGAAAAACGGGCCTGGCACGCTTTTAAGTCTCAGTTTCCTCATCACTCAGCAGCATGTTGGGGATCCCACGGCTGATGGGGAACAGACGTCCCGACTCTGGGCATTGCAGGGTGCCCTCCAACACATCCACCTGCAGGAAGAGGGGAAGAGAGCTGAGCACTGACAGCCTCCAGGTGTGGGTGTATGGCCAGGAAGCAAGTAATGGGCTGGTTCTCACCTCCAGCAGAACGTGGTGCATCTTTCTCAGAAATCTCTCGTCATGCTCATATCCCTGAATCGGCTCTTTGGGCACCTCGACCAGATGCAACTGTGGGCAAGAGGCCCAAATCATCTCTGGGTATCCCCGTCACTCGCCCTGAGGCCAGGCTCCCTGGCCTGGTGTAAAGGACTGCGGTGAGACCACCCCCGCCCCCCCCCCAAGGTGTGCACGGGAGAAAACGAGGGTCCTCACGGTGTCCGCAGCCTCCAGAAGCGCCGCCCACTCCACTTTAGGTATCATACGAGCTACGAAGTCGGGGTTGAACTCCACAGGGCTGATGCGGACCTCGGTGGCCTGCGCGATGGAGAGATTTAGTTAGGCAGGGACCAGATCTTGGTTCTCCTACCCCTGCCCCCAGGAGAGGGGCCCGAGATCTCCCCCGGCCGGTACCTGGAGGCGCAGGGGGAAGCCACGGGGCCCCACCCCCCGCACATGCGAACTCAGCAGGTTGTGGGTGAGCAGCTTCATCTCGACGCTACGCGCTCTCGCAAAGACGGAACCGGAAGGAGGGCGGAGTCCCCTGGCGTCATTTCCGGGGCTGCTCCGCTCTATCCTATTGGACAGCTGGCAGGAGCGGAACCGGCGAACTTGCTAGAACTTCCCGTGCTTGCCGGAACGGAGGTCGGATGGGATCAAACGCTGCTCCCGGAAGCGTTTTGGCAGGAGATTGCTACGGCGCAGGCCCAGTGGTTTTGGCTGAGACAAACCTCAAATTGCTACAAGTCGTGTACAACGCAAATATGTAAAACAGCTGCAATGCAGGGGCCTTCGTGGAATGCAAAATAAATATGCTTTACTCCTACACAGGCGCCTGACACCATCGTTCCTCGCCCCTTGATTCGGTTAAGGAACGGAAATACTGCCCCAGTCCGTAAATTATGCCAATCAAAACAGCAGCACCCTATGCTTGCATGCAAATAAGCTGCGCGGCAGCCGAAAGCTCCGCCCATTTGCAAGTGCGCAAGTGATCCAGTCCCTAATGCAGATGAGCCGAGCCTTGTCGAAGACTCCGCCTTGCGCGCGGCGCCCGCGCCTGCGCAGTGGAGGCGCCGCGCAGGGGGCCGGGGCGACCTACGCCCCGCCTTTTGCTCCGCCTTTCGCAGGATTGCGTGGTAGCATCTTTGTCCCGCCCAGCCTTCTACTTTAGCCTCGAGGCAGGGGCGGGGCAATTGTGGTTTCGAGACCCGGCATGCCGCTGGCGTGGCTGCGCATCCTGGGCAGTAGAGCGGGCTCGGCGGTCTCCCGGCCGGCCGTCGCTGAGTGTGCGGCAGCGGCAGCAGCGGGAGCCGGAGGGTGCGTGAAAGGAGGCCTAGAGTGGACGCTTGGCGGGGTCCGAGGTTTCAGAAGCGCTGCTGTAGCCATGGCCCCGATCAAGGTGACCGTTGGCCCAGCCAGGCCTGACCTCTTCGCGGCCCCCCCCGCCCCCCGCCTATTTCCCCAAGCCCCTTCGTCCCTCTTGTCTGGGGGAGAGTCACCCTCTTTCTTACCCTCCGGACCCCTCCCCGCTGCCCTAGAGGCTCCTTCCGCCGTCTGTCCCCCCCCCCCCATCCCTTCATCAAGACCCTGTGGCTGCAACGTTGTTGCCAGTTTTAGGGGCCTCGTGCTCCATCTCCTGGGACAGTCAAGGCTTTTGAGCCTTCCCCTCATCTCCCTTCCGCATCCACCTTGGGACACCAGTGTTGAGTCTTCACCATTTTCAGGAGGTTGAGTACCATGGCTTCCCACCTTATGGAACCATCTCCTTTACCCTTTTCAATCCCCATATGTGCCCTCCTCCATACCTTCCCGCCCCCATTGCACTCCTCTCGTGGCTAATTCCCACGCTTCTGAGTTTTTCACCCTTCTCATCTTCTGGAACCATCCCCAGCTCCTTGGGACTCCCCTTTGCCCCACAGTCTTCTGAGATCTCCCCCCTCCTTCTCCCCCCTCCTTCTGCATCCTACAACCAACTGCTGGGTTTCTCAGAGGCACTCCCCTCACCCCTGACTTTCCCCCCTTTTCTCTACCTTTTCTGGCCCCATGAAGCCCTCACACACTCCCAGGTAGACTGATCCCTCCCCCTTCAAGAGATTCCTTCTTTTATTCTCTACCCTCTGGATGTAGGAATCTGCACCCCACTCCCCAACTTTCCCACCTTCTGCTGCCTTCCCTTTTTCTCTTCTTGAGGGTGGGACACTCAGCCGTGGCCGGGATCCCCTCCCTCCATGTTGTCAGGGCCTCCTCCCCACCTCCTCCTGCCCATCTACCCCAGTCCTTTCCTGTAACGCAGGTTGTTTACTCAACCTCTTGCGACACCTGGAGAGGCCTCTCGCTTTTTCTGTTGTCACCAACTGGCCCTTAAGAGGAATAGGGCCACCTTGAAACCTGGAGCATGTGGGGTAACCAGGTGGTTGCTGGGAAGGGACCTCTGGAAGCTCTGACAGGGTTGGACTTTCCCGCTGGGTGTCAACCCTGGCTCCACCGGACCAGGCAGGGCTACTTGGCCCTTTGTCCGCCATCCACCACCTGCACAAAGAGCCAAGGAGGCACCACCATCCGGGTGCCTCCTGCAGCCCCCCCCCCGACTCCTTACCTTGGTGTCATTCCCTCTAGGTGGGAGATGCCATCCCATCGGTGGTGGTATTTGAAGGGAATCCTGGGAACAAGGTGAACCTGGCAGAGCTGTTCAAGGGCAAGAAGGGGGTGCTCTTTGGAGTCCCTGGGGCCTTTACCCCTGGCTGTTCCAAGGTGAGGCCTGCCCTTCTGGGGCTCAGCAGTTGGGATCTTGTGTACATGTTTGTATTGTTCATTAGTCCTTTACATAGTCCTGGGGTAGCTTGTACCAAGAGGATGTAGATGACGTGACAGTTAAAAAACCGTTATTGGGTTTTTAAAAAAATAAGTTGAGGCTGTGAACAGGTACCAGGAATGTAGGAGAAAAGGTGATGCAATGAAATCCAACACCTCTCATTGATCTTGCTGGGTGACAGGCACAGTGGAAGGGACTTGGGACTTGGGTAAATGAGACATAGTCCTGCCCATGGAAAGTGCATGGTCTTGACCGAGGAACACTTAAGTTTGGATCTGAGCGTCCTAGTGGCCAAGGCAAAAAGGAACTGTGGCTTACACAGTTCTCATTGTCTGATCAAAGCTGTTGAAGTAGGGAAGTGAGGAGGGCCTAGAGATGAAGGGTAGGCTGAGGAGCAGAGGCAATTGTCCATCTTCTGAATCTTTGTTTCCCCTCCCCAGACCCACCTGCCAGGGTACGTGGAGCAGGCTGGCACCCTGAAGGCCAAGGGGATCGAGGTGGTGGCATGTCTGAGCGTTAATGATGTCTTTGTGACTGAAGAGTGGGGGCGAGCGCACAACACAGAAGGCAAGGTGAGGTGTGGGTCCTGCGGGGTATCAGGGGCCAAGCAGGAGATTTTTCTTGTGACCTTACTTTCTCCTTAGGTTCGGCTCCTGGCCGACCCCACTGGGGCCTTTGGAAAGGTGAGTGCACCCGGCCCCCCAGCCTCCATCTTGGAAGCAGGGACTTGGAGGGACATGGCCAGTGTGGGGACCAGCCAGGTCTGGGAGTTCCTGACCTTTCCTTTGCTTCTCCTTTCAGGAGACAGATTTGTTACTAGATGATTCACTGGTGTCCCTCTTTGGGAATCGACGGCTGAAGAGGTAAAAGCAGGAGGGTTTCCTGTGCGGTTCCCCTGCTACCCCACCTGTCTCCATTCCCAGCCTCCAGGCCCAGGCTGTTGCAGCTGGCCCCGCCCTTCTTTCTGGCAGGTTTTCCATGGTGATAGAGGATGGCATCGTGAAGTCCCTGAACGTGGAGCCAGATGGCACGGGCCTCACCTGCAGTCTGGCCCCCAGCATCATCTCACAGCTCTGAGGCCTTGGTCCCAGGTGTACTCCTGTTCTTGCCTATTTCACCTGCCCAGCCCTGGGCAGAGGGCCCCAGCCTAGCCTCAGCTGGGGCTACTTAGTTGGAACTTCGGCCAGATTTCTGTAATAAACACTTCTGGTTCATGTCTGTCTCCTTGATTTTGAATTCCTGCTTTTCTCAGGGCCAGGCCTCATTGACAGTCAAGCTGTGAGGGTAGTGGGCAGGTGCTGAAGGGGGGACTAGTAGGGGACCCTGATTTAACTTAGGAGGTAGTCAGAGAAAGTCCCTTGAACGAGGTGTTATGAAGCCTCCATCTGCAAGCTGAGAAAGGGCCAGTGGTCTGAAGAGTGAGGGAAGGAGCAGTCGTGCAGTGGGAGCTCACCTGGGAAGGCCCTGGGCAGACCTGGGCTTGCCTAGGGCCCGTGACCTTTTGCATCCGATACCTGGGTGATGGATGATCTCATTTTGACTGTAGACCTCAGGGTAGAAACTTTGTCCCAAGGCCCCCCCGACACCTGGGCCAAACCTCAGCCCCACCATTCTTTCAGATTCTGCTGAACCCCTTCTGGGAACACCCACATCCCAAGAAGGGCCCCTGGCCACGTGGGACCATCTGATGGGCAGAAGGAGCTCCATCCGTGGAGGCAGTGCCGGTTCAGTCCGGGGGCTTCCTGGGAGCAGGGTCTAGGTGAGCTGTAGAGGGGAGGAGATGCTCGTGAGACCTGCCCAGCAGTGGGTGTACTGTGAGGGGCTGGGGGTCAGGGAGGCCAGTGGGGCTTGG